GATGTTTGGCCACTCCTGATCGCCGACCTCTGTGCTTCCACTGCGGTGAAGCGGACTATTTGTACCGCCAGTGTCCATACCGGCGCCTCGGGCTGCGGGGCTTTTCAATATATTCAGCGCCTCCTCGGTATGGCCAGGGACCCCGGGACATTGAGGACTACCTGGCTCAACAGCGCATGCCACCGCCTTCTGGGCGGCAGTCGCGCTCACCGTGGCCGAGGCACTTTTCATCTTTTCCCCAGTGACATGCTGGCACACGGTCCCCCAGTCCCCATCGGGAAAACTAACGCAAGCGACCCTTGGAGGCGAGGTTGCTGGCAGTCGACGTGCCGAAGACCTCTAATTGACGCTAACAGGAAAGGGTGTAGATTCGACTGAGCGATATGTGCGGCTTTCTTTGGATATACCGGTGCTGATGGACGGCTATGCGGTAGGTGCTTTAGTTGATACCGAGGCTGACTATTCGATACTAAGTGGGAAAATGACCAGACTACTAAAGAAGGTAATCACGCCCTGGCATGGCTGGCTCCATGATTCGAACGGCTGGTGGCCTCACCGTCTATCCGCTTGGAACCTGCACGAGTAAAGTTCGGGTCTGCGCTTATACTTTTGTAGCAAGTTTCCTTGTGCTCCGTGAATGTTCACGCGATGTTATTCTTGGTGTTGACTTCCTGCAGGAGTATGGAGCTGTCATTGATCTTCAAGAGAATCCCATCACCTTCTCAGCCGACCGAGCGATCGACAAGCAGGACGACCAACAACGTGCCGACTGCTGAAAGTATAACGCCTCCTCCAAGAGCCACTGTTATAGTCGACGTCACATGCTATGGATTGCGAAATAGTGAAGCGATTGCAGAGAGTAATTTTGAACACCTGCTGACTCAAGGTGTTTGTGTGGCTAGGAGTATCATACAGCTACGTGATGGCCGATCTCAACTGCTCGTTACAAATTTCAGCAATGAACACCGACACCTTTTTCGTGGCACTTTGTTAGCGTTTGCAGATGAATTAGGAACTGTTCCTATCTGCTTCTCGTCGGACGCAGTGGAGGCCGCCGATACGTCTCTAAACAATATCAATATTAATTCTAACCTCACACCAGAAAACCAGACAGCACTGCGAAAACTCTTGCTTGAATTCAAGTCATGCTTCGCTACTTCCTCTAAGGTGCGCCAGATTTCGATCACTAGGCACAGAATCATCACTTAGGACGACGCCCGCCCAGTACACCAACAGTCTTACCGCGTGTCAGTGAAGGAACGAGAAGCCATTCGTACGAAAGTTCGAGAAATGCTTGACAACGGCATCATCGAGCTTTCCAATAGTGCGTGATCCTCTCCGGTCGCCCTAGTCAAGAAGAAAGACGGAACGCTACGTTTTTGTGTCGATAACCGGAAGCTGAACAGCCTGACTAAAAAGGACGTGTACCCGCTGCCACGCATCGACGACTCGTTAGACAGATTACGCCGCGCCCACTATTTTTCCTTTTTGGATCTAAAAAGCGAGTACTGGCAGATTGAGGTTGACGAGCGAGACCGCGAGAAAACTTTGTGACCCCTGATTGCCTGTATGAATTTCGAGCCCTTTCTTTTGGTTTGTGCTCAGCGCCCGCAACTTTCCAGCAAATGATGAACACTGTGCTTACTGGTCTGAAGTGGCAAACTTGTCTCGTATACCTTGATGATGTCGTTTTTTCTGAAACCTTCCAGCAACATCTTCACCGCCTCAGGAGTGTGCTACAGGCTATTCAATCAGCAGATCTTACACAAACCGCAGAAGTGTCACTTTGGTTATGAAGAGCTCAAATTCCTTGGCTATGTAGTCAACGCGAAAGGAGTCCGACCTGACCCCGACAAACTTGCCGCTGTAGCCGCGTTTCCGCATCCTACAGACAAAAAGGCTGTTCGGCGCTTTCTGGGCTTGTGCGCCTACTATCGACGATTTATTAGAGGGTTTTCGAAGATAGTGGAACCCTTGACTCGCCTTACACGCGACGACACACCGTTTGTATGGGCTACCGAGCAACAGGCTGCTTTTGCCGAGCTACAACAGCGGATGCAGTCAGCCCCTGTTCTTGCGCATTTTGACGATGATGCTGACACAGAGGTGCACACTGACGCCAGTAACATCGGCCTCGGCGCAGTGCTCGTCCAGCATCAACACGGCAAAGAACAAGTCATAGTCAATGCCAGCCGCTCACTGTCCCGTACCGAGGTGAATTATGCGACCACAGAAAAAGAGTGTCTCGCAGTAGTGTGGGCGATCACCAAGTTTCGCCCGTACTGCTATGGTTGTCCATTTAAAGTAGTGACGGACCACAATGCCATCTGCTGGTTGGTCAACATACGTGATCCCTCTGGACGACTGGCCCGATGGAGCTTGCGTCTACAGGAATTTGATGTGACCATCGTATATAAGTCTGGACGGAAGCATGAAGACGCTGATACACTGTCTCGTGACCCCATACCTTTAGTCAATCAAGAAGAAGAGGACGATGACAGTTTCCTGGGCGCCCTTAGCTCATCTGACTTAAGCAGACGCCAGCGAGAGGATGAAGAGATTCGACCGCTTATCGACTATCTGCAGGGTCATAGCGCTGTTATACCTCGCCATCTATCTCGCGTCGTGACGTCTTTCTGCCTCCGAGATAATGTCCTGTACAAAAAAAAACGCCCTTTCTACGAGCCGCGCTTACCTCCTCGTCGTTCCGAAGGACATGCGAGACGAAGTCCTTTCCGCGTGTCATGACGAGCCCACATCTGGTCATCTAGGTTACTCGCGAACACTCGCCAGAGTAAGCGAGGTGTACTACTGGCCCGGACTTTCGGCAAGCATGAAGCAGTACGTCAAAAGCTGTCGTGAATGCCAGCGTTGAAAGTCGCCACCAAGCAAGCCGGCTGGATTACTTCAGCCAATTGATCCACCCCACAAGCCATTTGACCAAGTCGGCATGGACATTCTCGGCCCATTTCCTTTATCGTCCGACGGCAACAAATGGGTCATTGTTGCAACTGCCTATTTGACCCGCTATGCTGAGACTCGGGCGATACCATGAGCCACGGCTTCTGAGGTAGCGCAGTTCTTCATGTGCCACATTGTTCTGCGCCACGGTGCTCCATCTACAGTGATAACCGACAGAGGAACAGCGTTCACTGCACAGCTTATGGATGAAGTTTTTCGACTAAGTAACACTAGGCATCGAACGACGACTGCTTACCATCCGCAGAGCAACGGCTTAACCGAGCGACTAAATAAGACAGTCACATGATCTCCATGTACATCGACGATGTCCAACACAAAAATGGGATCGCATTTTGCCTTATGTGACGGTCGCTTATAACACCGCCGTTCAAGAAACAACCCGATTTACGCCGTTTCGCCTCCTCTACGGCCGCGAAGTTCAGACGATGCTGGATGCGATGCTTCCTTGTGAAGACGCCGATCAATTAACAACTGACGCAGAAGCATTTGCAGAGCATGCCGAGGAAACTTCCCAGCTCGCCCGGCTACACATTGGTCAGCAGCAACAGGTCGATGGACGACGTTACAATATGCGTCACAATGATGTATCTTAGAGTCCGGCAGACCAAGTTTGGGTTTGGACCCCTGTTCATTGCCATGGCCTCTCCGAAAAGTTTCTCAGCAGATACTTCGGTTTGTATAAAGTATTACGCCGCGTGAGTGACGTAAACTACGAAGTGGTTCCGGACGCTACGTCGTCACGAAGACAACCGACCTCTGACATAGTTCATGTGGTGCGCATGAAGCCTAAAAAACCACTTTTCCTGTGTTTCTTTTATTTGTGCTCCGACGATCGCCTCATCATTGGTGAACTTATCCCGTGTAACATTTGATATTGGTGCCCTTCGTCATTGTTTAAGCTACTTTGTTTTTTTTTTTTTGCAATAACGTTACAGCGTCGGACGATGCTCTTTCTTTTTTGTTGAGGAGGAATATTGCCACCTACTTCGAGTAGTGGGTTGTATACCAAGGCGAAGGCACACACCATAAAAAGAAAGAAGTGCGCGTGTGCCCCCACTCTGGCAAACAAGCCAAACCCACGCGCTTGGTTAGAGCCCTGTTGCTCAGTCATCAATAAACCTTGTCGACACCCCTGGAGTGACGTGACAATATCGTCTAAGCGGTGCTAGCTGTGCACAACTTCTCTCAATAAAAAATGGCGCATTTTTCAAAATCCTTTGAATCTAAGCCGACCATGGAGTTTGATGCAAAGAACTTTGAAAAAACTATCTGCCTAGATTTGAATGAATACGGCAGTACGCTCATGCATAAAGAGTGGATTTCCCACGATAGCTTGTTGCCTGATGGATCCACTAGTGTGGTCTAATTAGCACTGCTTCATTGCATTATTGAACTGAAATTGCTATTTGAGGCCTAGTGTAGAAAGCAATGGCCATAATGTCATTGTTGCTAAGATATAATTAGAGGCACCTGGTAGCATCTTTGTATAAATTAACCAATGTGTGGGTGTGCATGATGCTTAACAAGGCTTTTTTTTTTTTTGCACACTAATTCACGACCACTTCACGACCTACTTCACGACCTACTTGAAGTTGGGCTTTAAATGAGAAAAATGTGCTTCCAGCCACATTCTTGCCCCGAGGTTTTCGCGAGTTATTATGTAAGGTTCGTCACCAGTAAAATACACATAGGAAAGGGGTTGGTTGGTCAGGCAGAATTCCTGCAGAGATGGTTGCACAGATAGAGATCATTCACAACGGAATGAATGTGAGTTAGTTTGCTCAGCAACAAGCTTGTTTGCGCGATGGTCGCTGATAGCACACGGGACCAGTGTTGGTCCCATGTGCATTCTTGTCCGAGTCTACTTCGTGCTGTTTTTAACTAGATCATGCTTTGGTGCAGGCACTGCTGGAATGCAGAAGATTCATCTGCAGCATGTGGGTCTTCTGTTTTATCGCGTGAATGTGGCTCTACATTCTAATCTTTGCCTTAACCTATAATGGTTGAAATGTACGCAGGCCGACCTACAGAACCAGTAAACAAGAGACTGAAGTGCTCTCCGATGAGGATGGACACGAGTACATGGATTATGAAGAAGATTACGAGGATGCGGAGATGGAGAAGCTACAGGCCGCAGAGGCAATGCAGATGCGCAATCCTCCAGTGAATGGCCAAGGCTTCCATGAGCGCCACCTTGGATCCGCTGTGGGACCAGGCATGGGGGGTCGCTCTGCCGGTGGTTTTACTGGACCCTCAAGGCTCGTCCCTGTGCCTGAGGACTCGTCGGAGGACGATGAGGGCTCTGAGGAAGACTACGACGAGGACGAGGAAGAGGGCGAGTATGGTGAGTCTGCCGAGGAACCCTGTATCGAAGCCATCGAGCTTGAGAGCGACGATGTCGATGGGTCGGGTCTACCACCGCCGGAAAGTGACGGGGCACCCGAGGATGCGCCAGTTACGGTGCTGGAAACATCGCACGAGGAAGACCAGGAGGAAGTGGGTGTCGAATCGGATGCTGCGTTTTCCATTGCGGCTGATGTCAGTGAGGCCTCTATCACTGTGACACCTGCGAGCAGCCAGCCCAGCATTATCGTTGAGGACGGGCATGTTGAAGAAGAAGTGACACCGCAGCCTGAATCATGCGAGACCAAAGGGGCTGGTGCTGAAGTTGTGCAGAAGCCATGTGCTGTCCCTGCAGAACCTGAAGCTTCGAAAGTGGAAGTAGAAGAACCAGTTCTAGTCGAGAACCACACTGAGGAAGAAAAAGACAACTCCAAGCCGGAGGCATGCGAGGAAGTGGTGCTGCCTCCACCCAGCGAGCCATGTATAGAGCCGATAGTGACCAAGCAGGTGTCAGAAGAGCCAAACAAGGTAAGTCTAGCTCCATGTTACAAATACTTCCTGCTCAAGGAGACCTGTAACTGAATTCTAGTTGATATCTTCTTCATTATTGCTAATAAAACTAAAATATGAAGAGTTCTTGGGATGCTTTGGAAATGTTTTTGGCGGATTAATCAGTGCCTTCATACTGCAGCAGGTGATGCCAGACAGACTGACGGTGATGGCTTCTTTAGGCTATTGGCATGTGATGAGTACCTTGGATGTGCGACATTCAAAGACGTAATAATGTTTGTTAGACCGAAGTACACTCCTAAAGCTTCTTAAAGTCTCCAGTTAGCACTTTTGCCTGAATTGGGCTAGTGCCACTAGACATGGAAATCTTATCCATGTCCTATCCATGATTATCTCAAGTTTTTTCCCTCTTCTTTTGAACGCTTTACGTGTCCGTCCGCCTGCTAGTCTGTCCGTACGTCCGTGCGTTGATCTAGTGAATACTTGTGGCGAACACGAACCATTATACGAGCAAATGAACTTCGACCGGTCACATCGAAAAGCGAAATGACTCGTTTGTGGAGTGCAATAGAAACTTGTAAATACTGAACGGAGATAACGTTTCGTCTTTCTTTCTCTCTTTCTTCGCTCCTTGTTATGTACTCATTTTTTTCAGTTGCATCTGAAAAAAAAAATTTTTTTGAGTGCTGTCAGCGGGTCTAGTTCCGTGCAGAGCACACAGTATTGCAGACCCACAGGGCAGCTCGAGAGTTCAACCCACATCATTTTAGCTTGTGTGCTGGAGTGACAGTTCCATACACGTGTCAATATTACCCCGCAGTGATTAATCATTTTTCGCTTAGTTTAAAAGCTTGTAATATCAGCTTATATGTTCCAAGTATAGTATATTTTGAAATAGGACATATTTTACAGGTCATCGCTTGCTTTCTACCAAAAGTAGATTCTGCTACTATCTAAAGTTTTTTCCCACTTTTTTTTGAACAAAAAAAGAGGTCATTTGCACATGGCTTGTTTCAATGTTTAAAAAATATTGTGCTGTATAAGTATGCCAATTTTTCTTTATAATATATGATGTATTCCAATTCGATTCTAAACTATTCGACCAAAATCACTATTCGCACGAGCCTAAAATTAAGGCTTCTTTTGAGGGTGGACCCCCTTGTTCTGCCGTCTTGAGCCGTTTCAATTTTGCTCTCAGGGGTCAGTTTCTTAATATACGGTGATCAATATCTCAAATTAAGTGCAACTTTTATGGTTTTCTAAAAGATAAGTATGTCAAATTGACACGCTCAACAATTTTTTTTCACAACTGCCCTCAAGGCAATAATTAAGAAGTTGCTTAATGAGCTTGTGGTAATTATCTTTGTGAATGTATTTTTGATTCAGCAGAGTATAGGTGACTCCAAATGGAGTTCTTGTGTGAAGTCACAATTACCATTTTTATATGCAATCTAAATTTTCTTTGAAACAAAAAGAAACCCATCCTGTATGTCACAGTTTGTGGATATATATTCGACGCTTGCAGCTTATCGATGAAGTAATGTCTAGCTCGCATTGCATGACTCCATGTAGTTAACTCATTTGCATAACGTGTGCTTTCTGCCACATGCATTGCAGGGCGCAGCAGAAGCAACAGAAGGGCCTGGGGTCGCCGAAATGCTGCGGGACTTCGTGGACTGCGGACCTGATGAGTGAAGGCTTGAAGACTATACGTACTTCGATCTTAGGATGGGAAGGGCCTGTCTTTTTTTCCCTCACAATCATCGTCGATATTTCCCATCAACTTTCTCGATTGTCCCCATCACTTGTTTCATACACATAACGCATACAGAAGCAGGCATGTGAGCTTTGGTTTAGCCCCTTGTTCTGCCTTTTCGTTTGAATGCATAAGCATTGAAATACCCAGTTGAGCTTTCCCCTCTTTTCTGGCAACATTTTAGACAATTTTCTTCTCCCCGTGTATCTGTAATATGTGAATGAGCCTGTCTGAGCCAATCATGTAAGTGGGATTAAGTTTTCTGTGTAGCTGTGGCACAGTTGCGATTTTATCGATTCTCCAGTGTGAAAGCTTGCGACAGTTTAATCAGGTGTAAGCGAATTTGAATGATACCCTTTTCTTGTTCTTTTGGCTATAATAAAGTCAAACTTTCATTCGAAAGCCATGTGTTGTACATTGGCTGCACTGTCTGCAGCCTTGAGTCATTCTTTAAACGTTGCAAATGTTAATCACCCGATGATACCAGACATTCTTTCTGTGCTTGCATGAGGGAGCTGCCATGTTCTTCAAATTAATCCCTAGCTGTTTTATGTATATTTAAAACTTCGCGGCTTTTTTCTATTTCCTGTTCAGTTTAAGAAAAAAATGCCTGGGCCAGTGGCTGGCCTTCACAAGATGATGTGGCTAAGCAATCAAATATTCTTCAAAAGCACAAGTGAAGAAAACAGATTTCTAATGGGGCAGTTTTCATCATTTTTTAACATAGATCACAGCTTCATACTACAGCCTTTAAAACAAGGATGTTGAGGATGATGACTTTGTCTGTACCACAGTGTAAGAGTAAATTAAGGTGAATACAGGCCGCCCGACGGCGCGTCGAGATAATGTTCCTTCTCTTACTCCTTTGGGCGCTCATGTCACGGTGCCCCCCTCCCAACCGTGGCTACTGCATGTACTATAAAACACTAGCTGTGTGTGTGGTGTCCGAAGTAGTGTTGCGCTATGAGAACTTCGCGTTAGAAAAATAATCGTTTTTTTTTTTTTAACATGAAAGTATTTTATGCCGGGGTCTACCACGGCTCCGCTGAGGTACTTTCGTCACGGAAGTGATGTTGAAAAATATATATATACTAAGAAATTGCACAGAAAAGAACCAGACAAGCACTGTCACACAGAATCAAACCAGCAACCTCTCGATTCTCAGCGTGCAACGCTAACCACTATGCCACAGAGCGTACGCTGTATGGTACGCTAACAGCAAGCCATTTATATACACCATAAACTGTTTGGCAGTTCTCGGAGCTTCGAAACTTTAGCGTGTTTTTATTATCAGTGGTGCGGTGGCGTGATGGGCTCGCATTGGGCAAGCTCTGAAGGTCATCGCCTCTGCGGAGTGTGGTCTTGTGCGCGTGTTCTTATCAGACTCGTGATTCGGGAGAAGACGAAGGTCACTTCGCACGCTGCCACGGCTTCGTTTACAAAAGAAGCGCGCTGCTGATAAGGGGACGCAGGAAGAATTGTGACAGGCATTAGCGCGATTGTGTATCTTGTGCGCTCGTTTCGTGCATCTTTCTTTCTGTTTGAACAGCGCGCTTTAAGTATATAGCTGTGACAGTTGTTAGTCTGCGTTTGTACTCTGTATGGTAGTTTCGTGCGTGCTTTCTGCTTGAGGTGTGTGCTGCAAGTTTCGAGCTGCTTGCCATTCCTAACCTGGCTGCAATTCGTTGCTGTTGTGGAAACAATGCACATTAAATGCTCAACTGCCGCTTTAATGACATTTCACTTTCATGTTATACCGATTCTTAAATAGGAAAATAGGGGGATCAGCCATTTTCTTTTTTGTTTTTTTCAAACAACATGGAGGCGATTGCGTTGTTCACCGCATGCGAAGTTTTTCGGTCGCGAGAAATGCGGTGTGCATTTTTAGCTCTAGATGCTAGCATGCAGAATTGAAAAATAAAATGCTATGAAGTGAAAAAAGAAAATAATGAAAACGTACGTCGACCTAGTCACACTTGGTTTCGTAAGCCACCGTGTCACAGCGCCTCCCCACAAAATTGCGGCCTGCGCATGCGCTAAAGGCGAACATTATGTGGACATGCTCTCCGTCGTGGCGGGCGAGGAGTGTCCACACCTAAATTACTTTTCTTACACCGTTCTCTCTGCGGTGCCCCAGTGCATAATGGGTACCACAAAACGGAAAAGGGTTTGCCACACAATTGTGGCAACATTTAACTTCTTAAGCCCGTTCACGCAATCGGGTTCACACTAAGATGCCTCACAATGAAAACCATATCTTGTTTTGGTTTGAGAGGTGTCCACAAACTTGTTTACATATACAATTACCACAAGCTGCATTTGTTTTCTCTACAACTAGGAGAGAGCAATGACGTGGGAGGATGCATCTACTGTTTTTCACTTGCGATTGACAAAAAAGAAAAAAGCAAGTTGTAGCTTGCGCTAGTGGCACGTGGCTAAAGACACGGGAATTGCTCGGTTCCTTGCTGGTCTAGGCCATACGAAGTAGTGCCAAGTTATACGAAGCGATGCTAAGGAAGGTAAATGAAGTAATGTCAAGTGATGCCAAGTTTCAGTAGAGTCCAGCGCAGTTGCCTCTTGCTGTTTTGTTCTTACTATGTCGTGGACTACAGAGTGCCTTGGAATTATGGTATGTGAATTTAACACATTGATGAACAATGATGAACATTGAACATTGATGAACATAGTTCACGCCTGACAGGGATATGAAAACAATGCACCACCATGCAGCTTTTCTAATCATAGCAAACCGTTTTCAGTGAGCCCGCCTGATTCTTGAACTGTCTTGGAGCTTGAGACCATGGTTCGTACACTTTTACAAAGCAAAAATTCAAAGATATTCTAGGACTTTTCAGGAGCTGTTGCAAGTTTTTCAAGGACTCAAAGTGGCATGCAAAGTTGGAATTGTCTCACTATAAAATTTTCAAAAATAACCAATTTCATTACACTTACAATAAATATGCATATTACAATTATAAAAAAAATGTAGTTTTGACTTCTCAAGATCACAACACAATTAAAGTTTACAAAATCAATTGAGGTTTTTCTAATATAGAGGGTTTGCACCGAGCCTTGATTCGCAAGGGGGCAATACCATGGCCGCAGCATTTTGATGGTCTTAAGTGTAGTCTCATTGCCCGGACTTGGCATGCAGGACGTGTTCCGCAGGTCTCTAGACATCCAACCTGCCGTATAGATCTTGGACACGGGTCGAGCAGAAAGTTTTTTGCGTTTGCGGAGAGTGTACGAACCTCCAAAATGGTGATTAACTAGCATCTGTGAGGATTGTCCATTGTATATAGTTATTTAACTTATATGAAGATGAATAAATTTATATCTTAATGATGTTAATAATGACTAGCCTGGATCACTCTGCAAGTAGTAAACAGTAAAAAAAAATGCAACGCACAATGAAGTCTTATAACAGAGGTTGAGATTACTCCACTATGAGCTCTATGAAGTTCGCCAAACATATTCAAAACAATCAGCATAATGACATTTAACTTTCACAAATATAAATAAACGTATAGGAGGTATGCACTTCACTGACATCATCTGCGAGCAGAGCTAGCGGTAAGTTCACCATTTTGCATGTTCATGCACCACACGTGCAAAAAACATGCAACACACACTTTTTTTTTTCAAGAGTAGTGTTGAAGGGAAATGTATGTAGCTATCGGGAAAGCGTTAAGTATAGTGCTAGAAAGGCTGGAAAGCAATGCGAGCACAGATTTCACCTTCGCCGCACGTCTGTCCGATTTTTTCAGGCCTGGCAGTAGCGGTGACATCGCAAGAAAGCATGACCGATACTGAGTGATGACTTTGATCAGTTCAGTTAGTGCCCCTCTTAAGCATGTGCTGGACCTTATTTCTTTGCACACACTCATGCTACTTCAACTGGGCGTTTGAACGGTTACCTTGCATAGGTGTGATGCTGGAGTTCTGCGCAACTGAGGGAATATTTCAGTCACGGCAGGGTGCATACAGTGTCTAATACACACACTATGTTTTCGTGCAGTTTCTAACACGATAATTACTGTCGTACACAATGACCTGTCATTTCGAAGAGAGTGGCACATTAGTAGCACGAAATAATTTTTTTTTCACCTCATCCCCCCGCCGCGGTGGTTTAGTGGCTAAGGTACTCGGCTGCTGACCCGCAGGTCGCGGGTTTGAATCCCAACTGCGGCGGCTGCGTTTTCGATGGAGGCGGAAATGATGTAGGCCCGTGTGCTCAGATTTGGGTGCACGTTGAAGAACCCCAGGTGGTCGAAATTCCCGGAGCCCTCCACTACGGCGTCTCTCATAATCAAATGGTGGTTTTGGGACGTTAAACTCCACATATCAATCTTCACTTCATCCAAGCCGCACGAAAAGCGCGGCGGCTTTCCCAGCATGTGTGAAGCCATCGGCGATGCTTAGGTTGCAAATGGCACGCGCTTAGGAGTCGGGCATGCCCACCAGAGAAATTGTCAACCTGTAAAGGCCTGACCTCGCGCAAGCATTGCAGCATTTGAGTGCGTGGCTTTTTGACGTGGCACCGCACCCTCTCCCTCACTCTTCATAGGGAGAGGGCACAACACCATGTCAAAAAGTTGCGTGCTGACGGCCTTCAATGCATATGTGTGGGCAGGCCTTAAAGGGGTGGTGCCGCAACATTAGTGGCTTGCACGTTCTTTGCTGCAAGCGTTTCTTATAGCTCCAAGCACAATACACGCACCAAGATTCATTTATTCTTCCCAAATAATTTATGATTAGCTTATTGATGTGGACAATTTCCAGTTTCGCTTCGTGGGCACAGAGTTGCGCAGGTACGTAGCAGTGTAGGTGATTTAGTCACGTGATCCCACAAAGCTTTCCATGCGTCATGCGGAGTATTGTCTGTTCTCGCACACATATGCCACCCAAGCACCTGCAAAACAAATGCATCACTAGCTGAAGCAGCCAGAATGCTTTGCCGGTACGTACGAGGCGGAAGTTCGGGGGTCGTTCACCTCACTACAGATCTGATGTTACACTACAACATTTGTTGCCCTTCTTATAGAGCTACGTCAGTGTTGGACGCGCTCGCGATGGGCCTCAACTGGGAGAATGAGCATTTAGGTACACTTTGGAAGTGATTTGAAGTAATATTGGAAATGTTTTGCGAGTCCAACCATTGATGTGGGTGGAGTGTTCTTGCATAACGAGAAAACCCACACAACGCTTGCTGTGGCCTTGAAATGTGATGGCACAACCCCATTAAGAGCACTGGCTTCCTTGGGTGCAGTTCACACTTGCACCACTCTGCTCAAACACCAAGAAGTGACAACTGTGACAGTGGTTAATTTACACTTAATACATGTGTGTTCTTTTCTAGCATCCTTTGTGGTGTTTAAGCAGCACACTTCCAGTGTCAAGCTGTGGAAGTTGTTCATTAGCACAGATCCTGTGCGCATTTTCGTGCATAATTTGCGCTTGCGCGGCGCGTTGCATGTATCGAGTTGGTTGTCCTTCTTCGCATGACATTTTAATGTCTTGCTGTTGAATTCACTGCTTTGCTCTCGCCACAAAACTAACTTTTTTTTTTTATGAGCATTTTTGCAAAATGGGACTACTGCGCCCGCACAACATTACTGTCTCGAAAATGGTGAGCTTGACAGGTTGACACACCTATCTACCACATTTGAAAGGTCGCAATGTGAATATGAGTGTGCACTCATGAAATTCAAGGATTTTCAAGGATGACAAAAAAAATTCCAGGACTTTCAGGGGCCTTGAAGTTGCATTTTTCAAATTTAAGGATTTTCAAGGACCTGTATGAACCCTGCAAGATATTCCCGCGCACATTTTAAATGAGACACACTTCGCCAGTTCGTGTGTTGTTTCTGATTACAACACCGAACTGGTAATTTTTGTCCTGGCTGCTGTTTTACTTTCTTTGCCAGCTTTTGTTCTGAAAATGGCATTCGGGGGAGGTGGCAAATATGTTTGTCTGTTGTCGATGAAAAAGCTTTTTGTCATAGAAATCATCAAAATTGTTAGATTCATGAAACCATTGTGATAGGCTTCTGTGAATGCTCGAATACTCCGAATATTCGAACATATATTTAGAAATCGCTTTGACATGTATGACATGTGACCCTTTAAGCCCTGGATTTTTTATTTTGGACTGATACATTTTTGTGCATGTTTTTCTTGTAGTTGGGACCTCAGAAGACCACAAACGAAAAATTGAGCCAGTGGTGCAAGCATTTTTGGAATAATTAACGTGGTGTCAAATTAGGTCATCAGGGCTCAGTGATTAGAAAATGAAGAAAAAAATGGCTTCTTTATTCCTGCTCATCATTAGTGTACACAAAATGGGAACCAACATCTTACTTGTCAGGCTAATACTCATTGAAGCAGCGTCACTATGACGTCCCTAAAATTGCTCTTACCCGCCTGACCTCACGTGCCTCGGCTTTACCAAAGACTTCGCTCGCGCTTCTTTATGGCTGCTACCTCCACAAACGTGCTGCAATATTGATGTCAATTGCAGTGGGGATCATTAAAGAACTATTCCCCCAAGAATGAGCAGTATTGGTCTCGTTTCTGAAATGCTAGGGTAAATGTTGTGCGGTGGTGTCAATTGACACTGCCAGGGCTGAGAGGGAGGGAGTATTCGAAATCAACGAAAAGACACAAACTGCATGTAACTCCCGTAAAGGTGGTTTCCTGCAGTGGAAGTGTTGTATTCCGCAAATACACCCATGCAAGGAAAATCTGCACTGCCGAAGGTTATATCACGACATTATCATCACATAGCATTATTTTTTCAAGTTGAAAGCTCATTAAATCAACTTGTATACTCTAATCATAGCAAGCATTAAAACTGAACATAGTTTAGCGATTATTACTTGTATTATACCAAAAGTCAAATCCTGCTACTATTCAAAAGTGCTTCCACTTTTGATTAAAAAAATGGCCTTTGCACATACCTTCTTTCAAATTAAAATTACTCAAATTCCAATTCGCTTTGAACCTTAAGTTTACTTTCTGCAGATGCATACATTGCAAGAATGCTACACACTTCCAAACACTGCAACTGTATTCTTTTTATTGTTTACTAACAGGTAGGTGGCTTTTTACCATGAGCAATGCACTGTAAACTTGATATGTGCTTCAAAAAATTTTTCCAAGACCCAGAAATAGGTTTTTTTTTAACAATCATTATCAACTTAAAAAAAAAGGCATATTAGGGAGCAAATTTATCAAAATATAAAATTTTGGGGGCTTAAACCAGTCTGCTATATTGAGACTGGAATCAAAGATATCTGTCGCATTGGAGTCTTCGGGAAATTTTGGCTATCTGGTATCCTTTAGCGTGCACAGACATCGCACAGTACAAGCCTCTGGCATATTGCCTCCATCGAAATGCCCGATAAAATGAGGAAATCATTTTCAGTTCTTGCTTGCCTACCCCTTCTGTTGCTCTCTTGGGTTCTCTTTAAGGTCCCAGTGTTGGAGAAGACCTGATGTACCTTTGAATGCAGTCAGCTTTGTCAAGGTTCTTTCTGCATCATTTGAGCACCTCGCCAGGTGGTGGAACACACGAGACCTCTTGCAGCTTTGCCCGTCAACAGCCAAAGTCGAACTAGCTCAAGCATGTCTCCCACCACACCCTCTACATGCTGCAGGTAGAATGCAGGGTACACCAGCAACCTGTATGTGCCTCTCACTTTCTTACTTTGTTTGCTGTTTGTCAGAATAGCATAGCTGTGATTAATGGAATGGAAGACTCTTCTAGCTTCCTCTGAATATTCATTAGAGTTTTGATGTCGTACTTTGCAACAATTTTAACAAATCGACAAGTTTATTTGTTTAGTTCTCTCTCATCGTGCAAGACCCTGTCATAGAAATTATACAAGCTGCGCATGCATGATTTCGGGAACATTCAATGACTAACTGCCATATTCTAGAACGTTCCTTGACCCTGAAAAAGTATACGAGAGCGCCGTTTCGTAACAGACCAAGGCACTGCATATCGCCAATAATCTGCAGCGATTCTTTAGAAGCGCAGCGTCAATTTCAGTCGAGCAGCAGCGCAGTGCTCAACTCATTCAAGTAAAGGATAGGAATTCGAGTCAAGGAACAGTTTCTGAATACAGGGGTAAATGTCTCAATCTAATTCATGAAGCTTGTGTAGCCATTAAAGAAATATTCACTTGCAATCTCATTGGCTTTTAAGCCTAATCATAGTGCAACGTGTGATGAAGGCTTCATAGTAATGGCAGACCTACTATATTATACGAATCTCTAATACAATTGTTGCGTACAAGTACATTTACTATGTCTTAGTGCAGATCAAGAGCACTGAAAAAGTAACTGAAAGCATGCGCTGCTACTTACTGGTCGTCCTTTATAAAAGAGAACACGGAGCACGTGGCCGGCACCCTGCCAAGGCCGCCTACGGCGGCATCAACCGGCAGTGAAAGAAAACGCGTTCGCTTTATGCGTAATCTTTCGGCAAACAAAACAAGTCACGGCCGATAGACTAGCGCTGCTGGTAGACAAGCAATGCTGGACATTGCATAGCACAACTGTGATGCGCGGATGACACCCGGCACAAATAACCAGTCTGTAGACGCACGCCTCGAGAACGGTAGTGATTGGTCATATTGTTCGCCAATAGATGGCGCAAAAGCACACGTGCCTTATCGCAGTCGGTTGATGGAGCTGTAGGTGGCCGCCGCACACCACCAACCACGAGCTCCCGTGTTCCCTTCCATAAAGGGGGACAGAGTTCATTTTGAAGACTGTAGATACTGGATCTTTGTTGGCTGTACACATTTGGGTTTATTTAAAAATTGCAGATTGGCAACAGGGCAGTCTTGGGATAAAAGCACTAAAAAAAATGCGGCATTGGATGACTATGTACATGGGTCTTAGAGCACAATGAGCAATGCGTGTGCGCGCTTGGCGGATTCTCTCCAAATGTCTCCAGTCTTTTGCACAAAAGGCTGGTTTGGCAAGTTGCACGACAAGGACACTTTGGCAAGGCGCCTAGATGCCTAGCTCATCTTTGTCGCGACTGGTAGCAAAGGGGTAAGTGCTACCTCGTGAAACACCCTGAAAGTGAGAGAATGAAAGCCATTATTACAACATAATTAAAAGGGATGCAATTATTGCCGACGAATAGTGAAAAAAACCATCCATTTATGACACCCACCCACCCACCCTGCCAGGAACGTCTGTACATCCACCTAAGTCATCCCACACTTCCCCGCATTTTGTTGGGAATCGGCAGCCAATATGCTACCCATTTTTTAACGCAGATTGGTTGTGGTCCTGGGAGGCAAGACAGCAAGCCAATGGGGACCTACTTAATTGGCCTGCTGCCTCGCATCTCAGGGTCACAATAAAGTTGTTGGTCATGTCATGTGGTGCACTTTTCACGGATTTTGCTCTGTAGCTGCCAAATGATTGTTACTGTCCCACGGTCCTGCTATACACTCCATAAAACCAGTGCATGAACAGCAACAGTAATTTAAACCTTTCACACCAATACGTTAGAGTCTTGGATGAATGACGGCAAGTTTTGCATGCACAAAACACGTTCTTGCGCACCCATGCTGAAACACTTTCTAATCCAAGAAGCTCATGTGGACAACGATAGTTATACGCCTGCCTGAATAGTCATTCACGTCACCACTGTCATCTGGAACATTTCATCCCTTTATGGTGAGTGCACGTGACTGCCTGTGTGGAGCATTGAACTCACTTGTGCGAGTATTTGGAGCGGATGGCTTCGAGGTTGCCCTTTTGCTGCTGGTGCAGGAACAGGTTGAGATGCTGCTGCAAGTTTGTCAGTTCTTCAGCCTTGTAGCCAGAGTAGTATTGCAGCGTTGGATTCTGCAATAAGTCACATATTACATTAGAATAGGTCTAATGTTTACTGAAACTGCCATCTCTTGTGCAATGTCAGAAACCAAATAGTACCTCACTTTAGCACAAGGAAAAAGGAAAGACAGTTGCTAGCTTCAGAGATTGTACGAGCTGTTATTATAGTTACTGTACAGCTCAATGTTTGTAGCAGTATGCAGACACCAGTACTGTCGCACTGTCAGCAGACGGTAGTGCCGAATAGCGGATAGAGAGAAATGCCAGGAGATTGACCAGCAGACCACACAGTACTTTCACGTGGCTAGTGCGGGCCCTGAAAACATCTGCCATGCAGGCAGAGAGGTTTTCTTTTTAGCGCTGACAATGGTCAAAAGTGGCAATATCCTAGGTACGAGTGCCGTGTTCCAATGCAACAACAGAGTTCTTCCCCCCCCCCCCCCCCCAAAAAAAATTGCCCGCAGCTTCCCTCGGGGGAACACTGAGGAGGATGCGGACCATATAATTGGTTAACGGGGTGTTAAAGTGCGACTTACTTGGGTCGATGGCTAAATTGGTTAACGTGGTTGTGAAATGGGGTGTTAAATTGCGACTTACTTGGGTCGATGGCTAAATTGGTTAACGTGGTTGTAGGAGGGGGTGTTAAATGAGTGAACACGTACACACGTATGCGAAAGGGCGGCGCTGGTCGAAGGAACGTCGATCATTGTGTTTGTGGATTCGTTGGAATTCATTTCACCGCGACCTTGGACGTCGACGCGCCGTACAAACCGACTGACGAGCGGCAACTGAGCGAGCGAGCGCCGACCTTGAGTATATTATACAGCACGACGGCGCATGCACTGTCAGCTGTTGAATGTTCTCGAAGCGCGACGCCACATGTGCGTCCACTGGAGAATCAGGAGAATTGTAGATGTCGAACGCGGTGTGTAGAGGAGGAAGGGTGCACAGATGGTGGAGGAGTGAAGCGCGCGCGGTGTGTAGAGGAGGAAGGGATGCACAGATGGTGGAAGAGTGGGCGACGGCGCGACGGCGCATGCGCGCGCGTCAGCTGTCAAATGTTTGAGAAGCGGTGCGGACGGCGCAGTACAAGGCGCGAGTATAAGATGCTCCGCATCTAAAAAACGTCTCCTTCTCACTAGTGAAATATGTCAGTGTGAAATGCATGGCGATTGTATGCGTAGTAATATGTAAGCAAGTCTGCACTGCTTCGATACAGCTTATTTTTTATGTCATTTTAAGAGAAGGTAGCAGCATATTTTCTAGGTAGAACAAGAAAACGTGAACTGAAAACATGCAGACAGAAAATGCATGTACACTATATTTTAGTGCAAACTTCCAGTTTCTTTAGCACCATTCAGCAATCAATTGTACGATTTTTTGAAGACATGTTGGTCTACAAGAACTTGAAACAAACAAACAAACAAAAAACCTCTCATACCTTGCATGCAGGTTTTGTTAGAGGTTATTACATTTGTAGTGGGGATTTCGCAAGGCAACATGATTACTGCATCTCCCTCTCGAGTGGAACCATGTGAAAGTGACAAAACAATTTTTTTTCATAATACAAATGGTGCAGACACACCAGTGAGCGGTTTGTGTTAGGATCTTAAAAATAAAATTAATTCTAGTACGATATTCACGTGCTTGAAGAAGTCATTCAAGTTTAAAGCTCTTTCAATTGACGAGGGATAGAGACTTCTTTCCCCACATTACAGCTTGAAGCAAGCTGTTCTTGCAAGTTACAAAACGTCGTGAACGGCATAGATGGTGCATTTCTACGCCTTTCCACTTTCAAGACAGTCTGCGACACCTTATACCGTAATTACTTGAATCTAACGCGCACCTTTTTTCCGGTTAAGCGAGTTCATAAATCGCATGCGCGTTAGAATCGAGTACAATAAAAATTAATATGGTCATTCTATTGCCATCGGCACTTCCAAAATGGCCGCCCCCTACGTGCGTCGGCATGGCGCGTCGGCCATTTCTGCCTATGTGTTTTCCATGCGCGGCACTTCGTACGTGTGCTGAGGAGTTCGTCATCTTGTACTACATCAGCATCGACGGCATGGTAGGGCCGACTCCAAAAACTCGACGAGTGTACCACAATGCTGCTTTTAAAAGAAAAGTCATCGCGTGTGCCGAAACGGACAGAAATCGAGCCGCATCGCGGTCGTTCGGAGTTCCCGAAACGTGCGTGCGGGACTGGCGGAAAGAAAAGCAGGATATTGTCGACAGCAAAGATTCACGCAAAAGCTTCAGTGGACCACAGCAGGGTCGGTTTCCACAAATTGAAGAGCTGCTCGGCGAGTATGTGATTAAGCAGTGAGCGGCACAGCAGCCCGTGACGACAGAACTGCTCCAAGTGCAGGCTATGCAGTTAGCCTTAAAAAAAAGGGTAATGCAGAGCCAGTTTAAAGCGAGCAGGTGCTGGCTAACTAACTTTATGAAGAGGAAAGGCTTTTCCCTCCGAAGGCGAACGGGCATATGCCGGAAGTTGCCGGAGGAGTATGAAGAAAAGCTTCAGAGTCTTCAGCGGTTCCTCCTAAACTTGCGGCACAACAACGGCTACCTGCTTGGGCAAATCAGGAATGCCGATCAGACGCCTCTTTACTTCGACATGCCTGGCACCATAACCGTCAAAAGAAGGGGGCGAAGCAAGTTCGCGTGCTGACATCGGGCCACGGTAAAACTAGAGTGACAGCAATGCTCCGTTTCAGGTAAGATAGGCACAAGCTTCCCCGGTACCTCATATTTAAACGGAAGACGCTCTCAAAAGGAGTCGTTTTCCCGAGTGGTGTGATCAAGCGGGCCAACCAGAAAAATGGGTGCGCGTTGCAATCGATGTCTTAGTTTTTTTTTCTTTTTTTTTTTTTCGTGGAAACCAGGTGTGCGTTACAATCGAGGGCGCGGTAGAATCGAGCAAATACGGTAATGCACGATGTGCGCAAGTGGCATCTGCGGACATGAGCGGGTTCATGCGGCTGAGAATGAAGAGGCACTCGATACTTGCAAATCAAGCCGTGGGAGCTTTGTAGCCTTTGTCACCATGGTTGTTTTACAGTAGTTTGTGCTCATTTCCCTCCGATTATGCACGTAATTGTTATCTGTTTTAATGTGGAACACGGTGTCACGTAATTAAAGCGGTATAGTGTTGTACATTTGTCAGAATGTGTTATGCAGCACCCTTCCTCGCCCTCCGACTCGCTATCCTCCTACGGACAGCCATGTTGCTTTACTTCACGCATCACCTATAGGCCGCGAACAGAGCGAATACATAAGCTGCTAGGCATTTTACTATTTATAGCAAAACTCCTCTCTATAGATCCCTAGGTCAAGAGGTTTGTGAACTCACCCAGGTGTCGCCCTTCATGAGCAAGGCCTGCAGCAAAGCTGCAGCGGCCATTTTAGACTCCCTCTGCTCCACCAAGTTGTAGTCGAGCAGAGAGCTTTCGAGCACGTAGCGCGCCAGTGTCAGGACATCCATGGGCAACCTTGCACAGCGCGAATACCGCCGCAAGAACCGGTAGGACAACGGCATTCCCAGCTCGAAGTCTAATACTTTTAGCAAGTGGGTCTGTTGTGTGGGGAAAAAAAAAAGAAGGCAGTGTGGACAGCTCTTTATTGAAAGCATTACTGCTTACATATGAGCAGTATGGGATACCCCAGTTACAGGGCTTCACAGAGAACAAGTTGTCCTGACTACCACTCAATCGTTGATTAAATTTATTTTCGATGAAGGTTATGAACACTCGTGTTGATTTCGAGCAATCAATGTTTTGTAAAAAAAAAAAGAAATGCATATTTCAGCCACCGGAAACAGTTCCTTTCAAATTTCATAACTGCTCAACTTCAAGCATACCGGACAAAAAAAGTACTGTTGTTCAGAACACTTCTCTAAACAAAGAACATTTGGGTGCACACTAAAGAACCCACAGGTGGTCAAAATATCCGGAGCCCTCCACTACGGCGTCTCTCATATGATGGTTTTGCGACGTTACAACCCACATATCAATATAAATCAATCTCAAAAAAAGAACAAGTGAACCATTACCCGACGAGTATTATTTCACTTCAATACAGCGGCAGTGCTAAGAAGAAAATTTACAAACATGTTGGGGCTGCACCTCGACATCTTTTCCAACTTTGTTCAGGTTTGATCAAAGAATTTGTACCATCAGCCGAGAAGGTCTAATGACAATTTCAATGTCCGTTTCAGTGACCATCAATAAAAAAATCGCCAGAACTGTGTGCAACACAGTCGCAGCGAAAGCTGGAAGAGCAGCCTTTCAGTGCCTTTTTAAACACCTTTCGATTATTGCTACACGCACACTTTAAGAATACCCACTGTGCCGTAAATCATAATTTTTAGGCAGGCATTCACTATGCCAACCTTGGTCATTCTTCGGTGAAGCACGATACCCTTACACACATGCAAGGAATATTGCGCAATTTTTTATGCGATGGCTGACGACAATTAAGAATTGTGCCTAAGCGCTATTGTAATTGATTGTAACATTTGATGACCCACTCGCTACTCAATTCAAGTTGTGCGACGCCTGGCTGCTCCTTTGCTGTTCTAAACGCTTTATTACACACACTAATGCAATTTCTTTCCCGACATGAAGCCTGCCAAGGGTCAGTTTGTTATGGAGTTTTAAGCACCGCTGTAGCTCAGTGGTAGAATACTCGGCTGGCACGCAGAGGACCCGGGTTCGGATCCCACTGTGCCCTTGGCGTTATTTATTTGCTAAGTTTTTCTCTAATTTTGCGTGACAGTGGTTACGGATAATGGCGTAGGCAGACAACTACGGCGCATGCGACCCAGTTTGCGATCTCATAACCGTTTTCACTGCAAAAGGCTAGGGACTCCACGACAGGTGCCACTAGGTCATTGCTACGACAGCCATTCCTATGTTAATGATTGGCAATGCGGTTTTGTGTCTGCCGCAAAAATGGGTGTCAGAACAATTCTCGGAACAGCTAACTACACTGTGGAACGCCGTGCCACTAACATGGACCGTGCTTACTTGTATGCGCACGTTGCGTGTAGCGCACAGGAGGAGAGAACGCGAATGTCATACCTCCATGGAAATGAGTTCTTCATGGCTGTAGGCATCGTCACAGATGTAAAGGAAGTCCCTGACAGACGGTGGGCAACGCTCGTCAAACTTTGCAGACACGAACAGGGCAGTGGCTCCCAGCAGTTGTAGCCGGGCCTTGGAGCAGGGCTCTAGGGACAGGTAGCGGTCAACACACTTGACCGCCAGGTAGAGAGTCTCATGGTTGAGCTCAAAGTTCTCCTGCACCTCCACCATCCAGTCAACAAGTACTGACCGCATGCCCACCGAGAGCTCCTCCTGCCGATCGAGGTACTTGGATATCCGGAATGATTCCTGTCGTGACAACAGCAGAGGGGCACGATGATTAGAGAGAACAAAAGAAAACGTTCTGGACAAAACAGAACCAAAAGGCACATGAAGATTGAAAGTATAGAGATAGAAGGAAAAATAGAAGGCTAGAGAGGAATTTCAAACGAATTTCCTAGGAAGAAAGCATCCCAGATGACAAAAATACACATTCTGGCCCAAAGTTCTCTGAGGAATACGTAGGGATTTCCTTTGTAGTTTTATGGTAAAAAGCAATTCTCTCTTTTTTGAACATTGCTCTAACTTTCAGGCTTTTATGGAGCAACATTGCCATGAACAGATACAAGCCATGAACATCCTATGTCACAAAACATGCCAAGGCAGAAAACGGCTGAATTAGCACCAACACCTGTCCTATATGCATACAGAAATATCTTGGCGATGCTATTACTAATTTCAAAGGGAGCAGAAATAGACGAATCACACGACATTTTGTATCGCAAAGAACTAACACAGTCCTTTTCCAACCGAACGTTTTCGGGAGATTTATGGTCATGCCCATCCATACAGCCTCAGGATTGGCCACCATACAGAATTTTCACAGATCAGTCTTACAAGTTGGCAGCTACTTGTCACACAATTTCTTTGGTCAACTTTTATTTCTAGCAGCCTTTAAATAGCAGCCAAGCCTGCAAAGCGAGAGCCTTGTGTTGGGCAGATACATTGCGAGTCCCTACAAGTTGCTTCCATTACAATCAGCGTGCCGTGGAATCAAAGGCCCTCATAAGAACTTGCATGACTTCAGGTGAGCAACGATGCTGCAGTTTTTTAAATTGGTTCAGGTTATCAAAGACATGCCTTTTCTAGCCTTTTAGCAAACCTCACATTTCAAAAGAATGAATTTTGCCTAGTGCTGTTTCTTGACTACATTTCCCAAGTGCTGGCTTTTTACAATGATACAAGGTTTCTTTCTCCGAGCTGCTTCTACTCATCCGCACCTCGCGTTCCTTGTAGTAGTTGAAGATGTCGGCCGCATACGTGGACTCCGAGAAAAGCTCGTCTTGAGAATCAAGGTCGAAGTCTACAACACCTTCTGGCAGCTCAGGGCGTTGCTGTGCTTCCGAAACAGTGGGCAAGGCAACGGACGTCTGCGGTTCTTTGGAACTTGTAGCAGTTCTACAGAAAAAAAATTCAAAAGCAACATTATGCACTGAACCACAAAGCACAAGCTACAAAGCTGCACAGACACGAGATGGAGTTGGATTGACATCTCTACCACCACAAGAGACAATAAAAGTTAGGCAGTTGAGCATGTCGCCATCACTCTGACTAGACCACCATCAAGCACCCTTATTAGAGTGTTCTGAGAATGCACGTGAACTTATGCCCCATCTGTAATTTTCATAAATAATGCTTTATACCGAGTAATATAATGGCAAACTCACAAACTACAAAAAGATACTTTGATGGGAATGTAATGTCGCAATGACAGCAATGACCTACTGCTCAGAACTATTCAATAAGGTATTCGTTTTTGACATAGTACCTTTATTAGATACACTAGTGATAATTACTGTTTTTGCCAAAAGTAACTATTACAGAAGTGCTACACCATTAGCCTGTTTCTTTGAATTTCCTGTGCAGGATGAAGGCACTCCCAATGACATCAAATTTAATTATTCTTAAGCAATACAACTCCATCCACGGATGTGCTTCCTTCCCAACATCTTCACCTCACCTACTGTGCTCTTGCCATCATGCATTTCCCATAGCTTGGCAACTGTTCCATTAACTCATGCTAGCAATTACAGTTGAACCCACATACAACAACACTCAAGTGCCATGAAAATTTCATTGTTTTAACCGATAATAGCTATAATAGATGGGTTACCCGAAAAACCCAAGTAAAATAGGCTGATGGCAGGCTGTCGCGAGAAAACTATAAGAATGGATGGAACGTGCCAATAGACATCAGTGACAAGAATCAAAGCAGTCGATGTTTTGGGACATGTTTAAAAATTCCGATGCTTTCACGGGACTGGCACCAGCCCCATACAGTTAATGTACGACGTCTGATGTTTTAAATGCTGAAACTCTTCGAATTACAACTTTTTACTCAAGCTGCAGGTTTCAACAGAAGCCACTGCCACTTTTGTGCTCTAGGAGATTTTAAAAATCAGCAGAAGGAAGGTATGAAGTTATTAAAAGAAAGAAAGTAGAAGGAAGAAAGCACTGGTGGTGAACATGAGTAGCTGTTCATTTCATGCCTACAAGTGGTCGTTTAACCCGTTTTGCTGGCCTTCAATGCGCAGAGCCAAAATCCAAAGATCTCCTTCTCAGAAAACATCTGTTGTCAAATTTGTTCAATGCATTGCATGAAATGTCAGCTTTGCCACAATGCTACGACATTATGTGATGAAGCACATCGCAAATCCGAAGGGGCACTGGGTTGAATTGGGGTTGTGGATAGGGGTTTGGCAGCTTGAATTTCATTTTCTTTTCGAGGACATTGCATTTCCTTACCTTTTGGCACAGGCATGCAAACATAAAAAGCCATGGGTACAGCAGCTTCTTATTGTTATAAACGGTATTTATTTTTGTTACCCTCAATCGCTGAAGCATTACAGAGAAGAGCGGGTTGCAACATGAAAATTACAAAACAGCAAACAAAATGTGCTATATATGAGCAAGACTAAAGCAAAATAACATCTCCAGTGAAACGGAACAAAAGTGAAACGTAAAAAAAATATAAACAAAGGAATCACAAAGAGAAAATAGTGAATGAGGTAAAGTTATACAATACTAGTAGAAAAATGTAAAATTAAAAGGTGACACAAATAAAAAAAATCAAGAACCAGCTAGAAAACGGCAGCATCTTGACACATGTAGACAGAAAGTCGTGAGGAGGGGAAATAGATGGGATGACATTCTTAAAACCGGTATCGTAAGTGGATTCGACTGCATCTGTCCTATGCACTCACATGGCCGGTTTCACCAAGATTTTTTTTAAAGTCATGTCATAACATCAGCTAACTTTGTTCTCCGATCCTTTGTTCGAATTTCCCTGGTATATCCACGATTTCTCTTTCATCGGCACTCTGGAAAGCCGACATGATGCACCAACACAATGCTTGCGTACAGATTGCAGTTTTGGCTTTACTGCCTTCTCATGAATAGATAAATTAGTACAAGGCAAGTTACTAGCATTGCAAGTTTGAGCCATGGTATTGATTTATTCTTCCAACTTCTATACAGAAGCTCTGTTATGAAAGGAAAGTTGAGTAGTCAGAAACAGAAAAACCACTCTGAAATCTTTGCACCAGTTTGGTGCAATGTTCGATTCTGGGTTAATTTGGCCAGGTCTATTTTACTTTTTTTTTTATCAGTAAATGCGGCACTACAAACTATTTTTTTTTTTTTACAAATTGAAGCTTGTCCTCCACTTTTTCTTTTAATTACACACTTGCATTTGACAGTCACTGGCCTACCCCAGCAGGGCGCATTGTGACGAGGAAATAAAAAATTGAAGCTATACTTGACTAGACTAACCTGATTTGTTTTACTAACCATATTTGACCTTTAATGCAGTCATTAAATGCTGCATTGTCACTAAGGAGACATTTTTAACATTTGCCAAAAGCCTGCTGCTTGTGGACCTTGCTATGCAGTTGGGTTTGGGCAGCTTATAGGTTGGGCCCAGCATGCAAAAGTCAGAAGCAGGTCTTACTTTTCTGGCGGGGGCTTGGTAGCTACCACAGTGGCAGTGGTACCTTTGACTACGACCTTACGCACAGCATTTGCAGCAGCAGCTGCTGCTGCGGCATTCCGTGCCCTAAGCACTGTCTTCTTGGGCCCCGGCTTAATGAGGCCGCCGCCTTTCTTGGCTGCTGCGGCCTCTAATGCTTTGTGGTTGAGGTTGATGTCGCCCAGAACGACACGTTTCCGCGACAAGGCCTTTTCTGGGGATTTCTCGGCTGGCCGCTTTTGGGATACAGGGTCTTGTGTTCCCTGCAGAGCAGAATGGGAATTTTGAGGCTTGCAATACTTGTCACTCACAGGCAGAGCACAAGTACCAACAGCATAAAATGCTGTAAAGACGCCTGGGCTGGAATAATTCAGTTAACCTAATGCAAGTTTATTTTGTCATTTATTGCTGGTGTTGGGCAGCATGTTGCAATTGATGTACTGAAGTAACCAGCTAGCACAGCTATACGAAAGAATCACTGTGTTATACCAGCAATGGAATTAACTTAGGCTTGTGTGAATATTTGAATGAACATTACAGTATTGAAATTCAATGTGATTCTAATTTAAGTTATTGGAAATCTTGAAGTGCTGAAAATGAACAAATAGTTGTATGTTAGTCCACATGTAACACCCTTGTAAAGGTGGTTTTACTGCAGTGGAGGAGACACATGACCGACAGACTTGCGCCGATTTCACACTAAAATTCATTGAACAGCACAAAGCCAGTTTTCATACGCGTGAGCATGTTAACTGAAAAGCTCAATCACTGGCGACTAAACGAAAACTGAAGTTCTCATTCACAGGTGCTCCAAGCGTGTACATAACCGAGAAAGGAATGCCATTTTTTTTCATCACCAGTAATTTCGCTTTCAAGTTGTTAACATGCAGGCATGCATAAAAACTGGCTTCATGCCTTTCAATTAATTTTACTTTAATGTCGGCACAAGTCTGTCGTTTTACTGTCTTCTATTGCACTCGTTTCTCAGTGCCGCAATACCTTGACTGATCAAGACACCAATTTCACTGTATTTTACACGCACTAGGAAAACAAGGTCACAGTGAGGCATACAGAAAACCACAAACAAAAGTGTTTGTGGTCTGTGTTTCTCACTGCATACAGCAAATATATAGTATGGTGTACTAGCCACTGCACATTCTAAAACTGCACGAAACGACGAGAATGTGAGTAAGGAAACATACAGTATACCACAAGCACTGGCTTTGACTTCAATGTCTTGGCTATTCTTTGGACATTGCCCCAGGACAAAACCAGATAGCCAGAAGTGTTCGAACCTGATACTCAGGGAGTCCGATTGCCGTGTCGACCTGCCAATCGCGTGTTTCGACTTATTGCTTGAAACGCAGGATAGTCCCTCTGCTAGTGCAAATACTATTTGGCCATCTAGTTCCATCCTGGGGCCATGTTCAAAAAATAGCCAAAATATTGATGTCCAAGTCTGTGCTCGTGGTGTTCTAGTCTTTTCGGGCATTCTAAGGGTGTCTAATCGATTGAACCAACTGGCCCACCAAAACGTCCCACTGAAGCATATTGCAACCAGCTAAAGAAACGGCTATCGATTTCACGTTCATGAGGACATAGTACAAAGGGAGAACCAAGGCAGAGACAAAAAAATTGTGGGGGTGCTGACATCTCCCGTAAAGTTGTTCGCGCCGCGTGGCGCACGCGTCTCGCACATAGGCCGTATTTAGGGGGTCACAACTATTGAGCGGTAGGTGGCGTTGTGCTCACGAGCGTTTATCGCCACCACCACCACGATCATCATGGTTGTTAGAACGGTAGCGCCGGTGGCGACGCCTGGCGGCAAGCCTTGGTGGTGGCACAGGGGAGATGAGCGGGTCTCTTTGGCGGGTAACGCGAACAGTTGTCTCTAGTGATGGGACCTTGGTGCGCGCCGGGGGCCCTCATGGTAAGTCAAGCGTTGGCGAAGCCGCCTTGAGTCTGTTCTTGTGTTTGTCATGTTGAGTGTTGTGTAATATTGTGTAAGGTTGTTTTTAGCGTGTTGATTGATGTATAATTTGATTTACGATATCGTCGATCTAAAAATAGTTAAATGTGTGTTGTTTGGATTTGTCCGACCGTGTTAACTGCGTCCGTTCACTCAGGAAAGCGTGATGCTCTCTCACATCGAGAGCCCACAAAGCATGGTTTGACAATTTGAGAGTGAAGACCAAAATAACTCTGGGACTACTTGTACACTTGCAGATAAGAAAACGAATTTATCTCTGCAATAGTAACAATGTAAATGCTAGTTATAAAAATAAGTATTGGGGTTCAACGTCCCAAAACCAAGATACGATTGTGAGAGGCACTGTAGCAGAGGGCTCTGAAAATTTCAACCACCTGGGGTACTTTAACGTGCACCCAAATCTGAGCACACGGACCTCAAGAATTTCCATCTCCATCGAAAATGCGGCCTCCGCGGCCAGGATTCCATCCCACGAATTGCGGGTTAGCAGCTGAGTGCATTAGCGATTAGACCACCGCGGCGTAAATGCTAAAAATAAAGTCCCAACTTTGCATTTTGAGGAGCAGTGCTGCCTTTAGTGCAACTAGTGGCCAAACAAGAAGCAATTTAACTTGCCAAGATAGTATTGCATGCAAGTAGTATTGAAAAAAAAATCTTGATTTTTCTTCTGCTACGTATTTATTCGAAGAGGCACTTGCAGCCTAATCACAAAAACCAACAACACTGTGTTACTCCAGTCTCTCTTCGACTGATTTGATAATTACAATTGCAAGAAATAAGCCCTGGATGAGCAGTGCTGGCAATTCTCACGTCTGATTGACAGTAAAAAAAAAAACATTGCACAAGTAAACCAAATAGCTTAATTTTACATTTCAGCTAATGTAGAAGAACACTAAGTTTAACTTGAATAATCTCATGAGTCGCAAAAGCTTTTGCACTTTGCCTCCTACCTCAGAGCAAAAAAGAACACTGTCATTAAGCCACCATGACAAGTAACCACAGGACCTCTTGTTTGCACTCATGTACAAGCACTACCAGCGAGCAGTTGTTAGCACTATAAAGCCAAAATTTCAACTGCACTACTTTAGAAGTTTTTTTGCCCTCATTGCAAAGGACATTTCTTTCCAGCTAAGGAACAAACAAAATGTTCTTAGACCAATTGCATACCAAAATATATCCCACTGACATTATGGCTAGACAAAATATCAAGCTAACTGCCGGCATAGGAATGTTGATTCCCATTCATTAGCAAACAGAGAACTTGATAAGCAGAACTGCAGTGTCGCGGGCCGATGTTCTCATCGTGAGCACATGTCCCAGAAATCACGGTTTTTCTGTTAAGCGCAATTTAAGGGCAGCATCCTGCGCAGGTTGTCTACAAAATTTTTCGAGCTGATTGTACATGCACGCGGCAAAAGACAGTAACTGGCTTTAGAAAATGCTTGGGTCAGCATAGAAGAGAACAGAAGAGTCGCACCGGCTTCGGCGACCAGTCGGCTCAAAAAAATATTTTAAAACCGATATACGGTTGCTTGATCAAAAAGAAAGTAAAATTACAGTGCTGATCGCGCTGCACAAGCACGCCCCCTTCAAACGGTCATGATGGGTCGCAAGAAGCCACGCCAAGAGAACAGTATGGCCCCGGCTTCGTAACCCTTTTTCGTTACCGGCTAAGCACAACTGGCAACGCTAAGATGTCATCGCCACGTGTGCACTTTTGAACGCTTGTTGCAAACGCGCATCGGAACAAGCCGGCGCTTCGCAAGAGAAATACCGGAGACCTTCGGCCCTATGCCGCAAGCCCGAAGCGACATACGGTCCATAACCAACAATTTCGTACTTGCACTGCCGCGCCGTATAAAGGTGGGTACAATAATGAAAACGAAATGGATACGTAACATTTGCCGCTTGCTTACCTGTTTGCGGGCGTTTTCTGCGAGCGTCTGAAGCTGTCTGGATGTTTTCGTCGCCATAGTTGCTTGGTGAGGGGGGGGGAGGGCTGCGAACACAAAAGAATGCGTATGCCTCGAACTTGCACGAGACTCTTCAAAACTTGGGGCATCCACGCTGCTCACAGCACAAGTCGCGAGGGCATTTAAAGATGGCTCTATGAACGGGACCCAGACACTGCGGTGCCGCGCTAAAAGCATTGCAGTGACACCGCGCAAATGGACACACATCGCAACGGTCGGCGGCCCGTTGGCGGGAGTGATCTACGTCGACAACAAATACAAGGACGCCGTTTAATTTCAAGCAAAAAAAAAAGAAGGTCTCCTTGTCTGAAACAAAATGGTAAGGAACGTACGGTGAGCAAGATCAAGGCCTCGGTCGCGGCGTCAAAGCCGTGCTAACGTGGCGGCACTGGGATGCCTTCGCGGGCAAGTACTCCGCGCGCCTTATTTATGAGCGGCGAAACTTACGATCCAGCTGGTGTGGTTTTAAGAAGTTTCACAGGGTCTTTGTGGCGCTACGACGCAGCTTGTCGATGACGGTGGCTGCGACGGTGTATCCAGATAATCTTCAGCGCCGGCAGCAACTGTTTCAACGATGCACGCACCGCTACAACCGACAAGGAGGGGCCAACGTCTGTTTTGAAGTTACCACCACAGGCAGCCCCCTGGTTGCCCTGGACGAATGGCCGTCGTCCTGTGGTTCGTTGCGTGAACCGGCCAATCGGGTGCCGAGTGCACGTGCGCAGGCATGCGTGCACGTGATAGCTGCGTACTTTCGTCGCTTTCGTTGCACAAATTAAAGAAGGCTGAAGAATAGCACTTATTAATCGTAGTATCCCCAATTTGTTTTGTTATACTCGCATTAAGGTGTTTTTACATAAAAATCATTCACACATCTAAAAATGACCCATGGGACAACTCACTCATCAGATGACAATTATTTGTGAGTACTATATATTACAAAATATGTTTTTTGCGTAATATGAATGTTAATTTTGTTTGCAGCAGTAACTCTACAAAGTACGACAAAAACATTTATCCAAACGCCAGCCAGCCAAATGAAGTCAAAGCCAAGTTACAGATTAGTCCGCAGCTGCAGCTGATTTTTCTCATATCGCCTTGATGACGGCATGTATGGGTGTGTTTCGTTCGCAGAGGCTCAGTGACACTTGTGATTTTCTCTAGACGCGCGCACCGGGACTTCTCGCACGCTAGTTTGACAGTTGCAGGGTCATGCAGAGCGTCATTAACACCGTGAAAGGCACGGCTCTCGGCTTCGCCGACAAGCTTACGCCGATCCTCAAGGTATTTTACGCCCTGTACCACGTATCCTTTCTCGTGTCTCGCATTCACGCGGCGTTGCATTCTCTGTGCACGCGCACAAACATCCGGTTGCTGTGGAATTTAAGCATCCCCCCCCCCTTTTTTTTTGCAGGAATCGAAGTTTAAGGAAACTGGGGTCATCACACCGGAAGAAGTAAGCACGTTCTCTCAACGCCTTCGTGACTGTCATTGCCACGACCGTCCGTGTTATCGCCATAACTCGTATATTTGTTCGAGCCGATATTTCCGCTCCGTGAAGAGTGGGGTCTGATCACCTCTCCGGCAACCGCCGATTGTGTTGCCGGTCTTTTTGCGGGGATAAGTGCATTGCCGCATGCCGTTATGGGATTTCATACGTTGGCGTATGTTAACGCTGACGCTGCTTTGTGGATGTGTAGTGCGCGACATACCCAAGTATATTCGTACAAACTGCGCGATGACACTACAATTGAAACATGTTATCTAGCTACACAGCTGTCAGACTGTTAGCGGCATTTATCAATTTTTTTTTTTCCCGGAATACAAAGTGCAGGTTCGCGACGTGCGTGTAATGGTTTTACAAGTATTTTAATCAGGCTGTTAATTGTTGGCGGAGGTGGGGGGGGGGGGGGGGTCAACTTTTTTTTGTGCTGGTTTTCGCTAGCATATCCAGTGTGTGCTCCTTAATAAACAAACGTAAATAAATGTGTTGGGCCGTTCTGCCTAACTACTTCCGTCAATGTGTACTGCTCGAAAAACAGAAAGAAGACATGCATAATTTTTCAGGAAGACATGCATCAGTTAATCTGACCACAAATTGTATTACTTGGCTAGACGTGCTAGGCCGGTATAACATAGTGATTCCTCCTGGTCAACTATGCCTCTAATCAATCATACGTTATAGCTGACATAGCCTGTTAAGAGCACAGGTGAAGTGGCACTTTGACAATTAACAAAACACAGCAAGGAATAGTATTAGCATATGATTGTTGCATTGTTCCAGCCCTGTTTCTTTTATCAGCTGTTACCATAGTAAACAGGCTGCATCAGTCCATTTAATTTAGATGAACGTTTCTTAGGTTGCTTCATTTTGCTCTCGCAAGCACATCTAAAGAAATGGATGCTGAAATGTTCATCCTGGTTGGTTTTGCAAGAAAAAAGAGGAATAAAAAAAATGAGCCCTGTGAAGGCAAAGCATCTTGTGTTCGTGCACATTGAGGCAGGGCAGCACGGAAAACGGGAAAAGGAGGAACACAGTGCTTTTTTCCACAAAGTTTATGAGCTAGCTAGCCACCTAAAAACCTTTGTCTTTGTGCAGTTTGTGCTTGCGGGAGACCACCTTGTGCACCACTGCCCAACTTGGCAATGGTCATCTGGTGAAGGCCTGCCAGCAAAGTCCTACTTGCCACCTGACAAGCAGTTCCTTGTCACTCGGAATGGTATGTTATTGATCGTGTTTCATAGGCTCACAACTCGATATGTTTTTCGTGTAATTTCTATTTCAGGCGTCTACCTTTTAAGCGAGCGACTTCTGCTTTTGCAAGCGCTTTCTTGTTTGTTTTTTTTAGCATCAATAAACAGTATATAAATGTCAAGCTGTGTAAACTTATAAGAATGCAGTGGCTGCCAAGTGTCTGTTTCTACAGAACACTTACTCCAAGAGAAATGTTCCTACTGCAGCTTGTTTTGCTTTTGCAGATAGGCTGCATGTCTGGGTAGATGTTAGCAGTAAGCAAAGTTTTTACTGTTAGTTGATCGCATATAATTCACCCATTATTTTTTTGATTATGCTACTCAAAAGCAAAGTCATGTCTGCTTAACAGTGTGTAATGTAGGAGCATTGTCACTTTCACACAGAGAAACCTTGCAATTTAGTGCTCAATATGTTGGTGTGCCAGCTGTCCATTTCCAAAGGATTTGTCTCTAATAGTTTGGGATGCTCTTAACTGGAGAACCAAGCCATTTGTTTTAGTAGAGTTCAGAAACAGAATACTTGAAAATGGTTCTATTTATTATTGTAGAAAAGGTCGACAGCGTTCGTAGTGTCTTAAGGTTTCAGCTGAGGAGGCACGTCTCCACCACTCCTCAACTTCAATTTTGCCTCTCCTCTTCGCACTCGTGTTCAGCCCGTCGGAACTCAACCCTGTTCTTGCTCACAGCTCCTGCTACCCTTCTCCGTTCACCAGTGCCACATCTCGTGCATGTCAAATCGTAGTTTGGAAGGAGTACGATTTAGTGAATGCATATGCTGGCTTGTGGTTTCAGTTTGCTGCAGTTCACACATCGTGTTTGCTTAGTCGCCGAAAGTTTGCCAGCCTAAGTATTATGATCCCAGTTTCATTCCCGACCACGATTTCTGCATTTGATGAAAGCTAAGTACAAAGGCATGTGTGATGCTTAAATTTGGTGCTTGCTCGAGAGGTTCCAGGGGGTGAAAATTAATCTGGAGTTTTACTTTTCAGAGTGGCTGATAATCGTACTGTGTTATATGACATGTAAAAAGCCCAGGGTTTCTTTTAAAATTTGGCACTCATAATGAACCAGGGAGCAAATGATTAAAGGAACCATGTAACACTTTTTGGCATGGTCAGAAAACGCTGCAGATCTTTAGCTGCAGCTCTTCAGAACATGTGCGCCAAACATAGCACAGCATGAAATTGCTGGCTTTTCTCCCAACAAATAATGCCATAATCCAAAATTACTGTGTCATAAACACAATAGGCGCAGCCATTGGCTGATTTGAGAATTGTGAGCTGCATCGCAACCGCGGCCACTGCAGAACTCTGTGACGTAGCCACACTCGTGATCGCTCTGAAGGTAAGCTGCCCATTCAGTGAAAGTGGTCAAGGCCATAATGCACAATAATAAACAGACGTACCTTCTTTGTCTCCAGTCATCTCCCCCTGCATAACTTTCATCGCTTTTGCGTGTACAAAAGGAGAGAGAAAGAACTTGTGTTGTGCTCTTCTCTTTTTGCCTCTGTCGTCGGTGCGCACACTCTGGTAACATTGAACACATACCAGCTGGCTCATAAAAGACACGGACACAAGAAGAGACGATGTGACACACAGCGCGCATGTGTCTCTTGTCTGTGGCTTTTATGCACAACGTTGTATGCACTAATGGCAGACCAACAGGCCCAAATAACAGCTCACCCGGTTTTCTGCTTCGCCGGGAGAAAGCACTTAGTGTGTGCAGCAGATCACTGCATCTTAACATGTAGTTGATTGATTCTAAATTTTTGTGGCAATCAATTTGTCGGGTGATAAACTCCTTTAATCCATATATGTCCAAACTTGGGAAAATTAACAAAACTAATTTATTTCCCCAAGGTTATTGCTTCTACAACCTCAGAAAACAGAATAAGACTTCGATTAAAAGAAACTCTTTCGAACAATGGTTTTGAAGCCGTCTTATATGTAGGACACCACTGTTTGACACACTGCGAACAAAAAAACATTAGCGCCTATCACTGTCATATGAAAGTTACTGCACACCCAATAAGTAACAAACAATTGACAAAAATATCAGCAGCGTCGAGGACAATTTGACTCTATATTACTCATATTTTTTTTCCCAGTATGGCGCTCAGCTACATGCACGCGAAATAGCCTATAAGTGACTGCAAGCACGTGGCTATATGTAGCCCAGCGATCACCCAGACTTGCATGTGAGAAAGACAGGGCATCATAAACACACCTTAGGTGGCGCTACCTTTTTTACAGAAAAAACATGCGAGTTACACTGAAAAGCTTCAGCATCCTTCATCTAGAACAGTGGGCATATATAGATTAACGAAGTTATTTGATGATTATGTATGTGGAAAAGGGTTGCAGAGTTTTTTTTAAAGCTCACTGGAGTGCTCTCGCCTGGCCACTAAGTTCTTGCTGTTGACAACAAGTGGTTCTGTGTGGCATTTCAGTGCCATGCTACAAGCGCTGCAAGCACATGGAGTACAGCATGGAGCATGAGAAGGTGCTCGAGGAAGAGGGTGATGAGGATGGAGGCTGGGTCGACACTCATCACTATGCAGGTGAGGACGGCCGGTGGCCTTACACCGCTGTCTTGTGCATTTGCTGTCATTGGTAAATCCTTCTTACTAGGACGTAGGCTGTAAATATGGACCAGTGTTTTTTTTTTTTTTAACTGCTGAGCAATAAAGAGGAATGTCACTTTTCTGGAAGAGAGATTGGTAGAAGTGAAATGGTCAGAATTGTCAGTTTTTTAGTCTTGTGCATGGTTGTGACAGGTGCACTTTTGTTTTAAATAAATTTCAGGGTTCCACGAGGAACCAAAACCCAGCATTCTGCATGGAAATCGAGTATTCTACCACAGAGCCATGCCAGGTCGCGGAACTACTTTACAAATAGACCCTAGTGCTCGTTAAACGTCAATTGTGATTGCAGTGCTGGCTATCAAGTTTGCTTTGAAGCATAAAATAAGGGAAAGGCAAAAGAATTCCTATAATACTGTCACAAGTAATGGGCTTAAGATCGCCACTGTCTCAACTTGTTGGCCACAAATATGTCTACTTTTTTTAATTATTTCTCTCGGTTTATCCTTATTTGCATCTTTTAAGCTCTGAAGTTTAAAGTTTCTGCAATAATTCATAAGACATCGTCAAAGAGACCGGCTTTTTTTTTTTTTGTCACTCTTTGAGCATTATGATCCAGATGTTCATGTTACCTCAACTTTAGTTCAGGTGAGTTATTTGTGTTTGTTGGTTGTTTGTTAGTGTTTATTACATACCTTGCAGGTATGTAATACCTGTTTCTGTTCCAAATGTCCCTTTAAATAGAGCATTTCATGGTTGAAATAAAGCATTCAAGTTTATGTGGTAAATTATGTTTTCTTATTGAAACATTTTTGTAAGTACGAGTTAACAAAGGCTTCAATATTTCACTGTGTCATTTATACTTTCCCTACTCAAGTGGTGCTTGACCTATGGTAAGAATTATTTCAAGATTCATACTAATCTTTTATTAAATTCTATTTGAAAAGGTTTTCTTATTTTTGTTAGAAATGCTACTTTTTCAAAGCCTTTTTTTATATTTTGTTTATGAACTTCTGAGGGTGCTTTAGTTTAAAAAAATAATCACACTCTTAGGGCTTATTTATTTACATTTTATTTGACAGATAGGCTCCGTAAACCCAGCAGCTGTTGCATTAAAGTTTCCTTACCCAGACATACAACAAGCAGTTTCACCATTGTAAGGAAAGAAATATTGTTAGCTCTCGTGTAGAGCCTTGCCTGTCATCTTTCTTCTGCCCCGCCATGATGCTCTAATGGATTAGGTTTCTGACCCGCAGGTCACGGAATCGAATTCCGGCTGTGGCAGCTGCATTTTCAGTGGAGGTGAAAATGTTGTAGGCCCGTTTCCTCAGACTTGGGTGCACGTTAAAGAACCCGAGGTAGAAATTTTCGGAGGCCTCCACTACAGTGTCTCTCATAATCATATGGTGGTTTTGGGATGTTAAACCCCACATATCTATCTTAACATACTATTATCATGGTAAACTTAACTGTTGTTTAACATGCACAAAATATGCTTACTGTTTGATTGGTTTCAGATGCAGCAGCATCGGGGCTAGCCGAGCAGGTTCAGGAGATGACTCTTGAGCCGAGTGTAAGTGGATCTTAAAGTTGATGTTGATTGTAGTTGTCAGCAGAGGTTCAGTGACGAAGCACTTTGCTTCTGTGCATGTGCGATTTTCACGAAAGTGCCCTGCATACTAACCTGACGAAGTGCTGAGATGCATTCTTGATCTAATATTGTAGTGTCATTTGTAATGTGCTCTCATATGTTATGAACTTGCTTGCAGGTTGGGTGCAGATGAATATTTGCAGTTAACTAGACTTCATCTTCTTACAAGGATCTTTGGATTTTTTCTGTTGTTTAGTTTTACACTTATCATACGTTTAGAGTAAAGAAGATATATGCATTCAGTTAGGCTAGTTGATTCACACTGAATAGTAAATGCAGTGGAGCCACGATTATACAACACCAAGGGGACCACATAAAACTGTTGTATAATCCGCACATTGTATAAGTAGTCAAACCCCTTTATAATAGACACAGATGTAGGAGACAAATTGTTTTAAGAGACACCAGTTTGCCAACATTGAAAAAGGTCTTGATAAGGAAACACATATGTTGTACCCAGCTTATAAGAGGTTCCTAATGGGAAAAATAAGAATGGCTTCCCAGATATGTCTTTTACAAAGCGGTTCAACTGTATAAAAAACTAAAAATACGGTCAAATTCTAGCACAACAAAGTACGCTTCAGTGAAAGTTAAACTGCGTGAAAGGTGTTTTGTTTTTGTTGTTGTTTTTTTTCATTCCCTGTCAGTGCAATGTGTAAGGCTTTAGATTCTCTCGAATACAAACTACTTCATGGCTGTGTTTTGACTTCAATGAATTATTTTGTGCTGTAAATGGGGGCAGAATTATTGAAATTCTCAAAAATGCTCTTTGGTGCCTTGACAAACCATGAACCTTAATAAAGAAACTGATAGGAAACTGTGTGGAGCCTTGCAATTCGACATAATCAAAACTGAAAGCCACCATGCTACGATAGTGATGTCGATGCGGAGGTGCAGAGGAAACATTTTGATTCCCATTACTGCGTACGAACGTAACCTAACCTCTGTAACACCGCATATTCGATTGTTTGTGTAGAGTTTGTGAAAATGGCTTCGATGTCAAGAATTGCTGGTTTGTGTACATACACACGAAATGGGAGTTGTATGGCTAATGCCAGTAGGGTACAAGTGCGCACCGGGGAAATGGCTTGACTCGGGCTAGCTTCACTACGAGTTATTGCACGCCATTAAATGTAAACTACCGTGCCGCAGCCAGCAAAAAAGCTTCAAGTTTTGTCACTCAAAGACAAGGCTTGCATTATCCCTCAGGCTGGAGAGAAGGTGCTCATTGCTAAAGATTTGGAATTTCCGCGAGCTCTGTCTCTCAGCTATGCAGAAGAGCTAAGAATGCAGTAAGCAATGCTCTAGCTTTGCTGATGTTGGCAAAGCATACAAAGTTGACCCAGCCAGTGCAGAAAGCCTTAGGCAAAGAACTCTATGCCTGGCTCATGGAAGCGCGGACCAAGTAAATCACCCTTAGCAGTGATATCGTATGGCAGAAAGTGTTGGAGTTTGCCTACATTTTGGTGGTGTGTGAAGGTTTCATTGCATTATCACTTGGAAAGAAGCATAAGCAGGTTAAGTTGACTTATTTTGGCATTGTAAAGGGTATGAGGTTGATGATGGCATCCCACCCCTGCCACCAGTTGTCAAGGGCTCGAGGTCGATGGCAGGTACAGTGGGCTTTTTAAGGTAGCTGGCTTCTTCGATGTCTTCCGGCGCTTCAGGACTGACAGTGCTTTTGTAACGATTTCAAGAACGCCCGAGGCAACTATGCGTATTTGCCTCGCAGCTAAATGGCGCAGTCACGCATCATTCGCGATTTCAGCCTGCCTCTGTCAGGTTTGTGGAGGGGACCTGAGCAATTCACGGGAAAGAGTGGCTATGCCCTCTTTGGGCTCGCTCTTGTGTGATATTTATCTATTCTGGCTTTTCTTCTAAGATCCCTTTGACACTCCTGTCCCCGCAAAGCTTTAAATTTCCGGCGTGCATTTCGTCGCGTTTATGCGCGCTGTAGCTTTACTTCACGCCAGCCACAAAGGATTCTTCGTCGAACTGGCCGATGAGCTACCCTCTTTTCTTTCTTCCTGATGCTTGCTTCCTCCTTCTTGCCTTCGCTTTGTCGCGCGCCTACGCTTCACTCTACGGCGATGTTTGTGAACAACTTTTCCTGCACCGTTAAGAAATTGGCCTCGGGTCGCGTCATCGATGGTTTTACAGCTCAAGATTGCTTCTGCACCACCTGCCACACTACTTCGGTGCTTCGATTTCTCGGCTCTGTCGCCTTGTCGGGCTGATTCACCTGTGCTAGCCCTGTACTGATGCGCGTCCTGCAGCCTTCTGTAAATAGAACAACAGGAGTACCGACACCTTCTATGTGATTGCATCCACGAAGATACTGTTTTCGCTTTTTTCTTCATCCAGCGGCTCGGACGCATGCGAAGCTGTTCTGACGCTGCTGCAAAACTCTTAGGTCTGATTGCTTCGCTGATAGGTTTCGAACCCTTCTCAACACGCGTAGTGCTGCTTGTCTCACTCGTGGCTCTTACACGTCTACTGCGTCTGCGCCGCTTCTTGCGGCTCATTTCCGAGCCTCCTTCTCGCTTTTCAAGCTCACGAGCCCTTTCACAGCCCCGCCACGGTGGTCTAGTGGCTAAGGTACTCGGCTGCTGACCCGCAGGTCGCGGGATCAAATCCCGGCTGTGGCGGCTGCATTTCCGATGGAGGCGGAAATGTTGTAGGCCCGTGTACTCAGATTTGGGTGCACGTTAAAGAACCCCAGGTGGTCAAAATTTCCGGAGCCCTCCACTACGGCGTCTTTCATAATCAAATAGTGGTTTTGGGACGCTAAACCCCACAAATCAATCAACGAGCCCTTTCACAGCTTTCCTCAGCTGTCTCACCCGCGCAGTCTAAATTATTTTCGAAAAAATCGTCTTTTTCACACTCTAGACTGACAGACAGGTTAACACACGTCGTAACAATGCAGCTGTTTCCCTCCGAACAATCTCGCTCACATTCCTGGGGGCTCTCTGCAACTGCACTGTTACCGTCACGCTCTACATTTGCTGCTTCTGAGCTTTCTCCGGTGTTCTTGATCACTTTGACCTCATTTGCAAAATCCAGCGTCGCAACAACCACAGTTGAGGTCTGTACTAGTTTCTCTACAGCTATCCTAGCTGTTTCGCTAGCATTCAATTGGCACAGCACCTCGTCGCATTCGCTCTGACCTTTAGTGGCTTCTCTCATTAGAGCAGCATCTTTCACAGCTCTCAAACTCAGTTTGTCTTCAAACCTGCTGCACTCTTCGCATGTGCTAGTAGCCTTCTCTATAGCTCTGAACTGCACCTCACTCATTTGATCATCACACTTCTCATGTGCTACAGTTGCGGATGGCTGAAGCTCCTGCCGCATTGCCTCAACTTTCTGTTTCAATAGTTCAATCTCCAAGTCGAGTGCTTGATCACGCTCTTTTCTATCTCTTCTTTCCTGATCTTTTCTTTCTTTTTCCTTCTCATCTCTTTCTCTTTTCTGTTTATCGAAAGTCTCTACCGTGTTTTTAATCTCCTTGTCACTGGATTTTTGTGAGATCAGCTTCACAATCTGTGTCTTGCGCATTCCTTCCTCTACTTCAATGCCTAGATGCTTACTCATAGCCAAAAGTTCATCTCTCAGCATTGACCTCCACGCCATGATTGCCGTTGTACTTTGGTCTTGAATCTCACAAATTGGGTGATCCCTCTAACTCATAAATAGGTGATCCCCTAATGCCACACAAATCAGCGTCTATCAACTCACACAAAATGAAGCCTGGAAAGTCAAAGCAAAAATCAAGCACTCACCAGAGCACAGCACCATGTCGTGAAGTTCATCTCACCACTGCCAACCAGTTGTAAAGGGTATGAAGTTGATGATGGCATCCCACCACTGCCACCAGTTGTCAAGGGCTCGAGGTCGATGACAGGAACGACAGGCTTCTTTAAGGTAGCTGGCTGTTCGCCCTCATCCGCATAGCTGATCTTCGCCAGTAAGGAGATGCGTTCGTAAGAGAGATGAAACGAAGGTTTATTTACATTATAGATGAAACAACAATAGAGATACAACAGAGATTCAGTTCATGATACCGCTCGTGATTCAGCTCCTATTTACACAATGTCTTTGGCTTTTATAGCCCGCTGTCTCCTTACATGGAGGTCGAAAGGAGGCAGTCGCCACTCTTGCCACAAAGCAGGTGACGAAGTATATGTGGTTCACCCACCAAAAAGGGTGCAGATATTGCACAACTCGGCTGGGCGAAGCGGTCCAATGGTAATGGGAACACACCACACAAAGATGCACCCGGCCCACGCGTTGAAGGCACCGCAGGGGGAGGAGGTAGAGTCCGGAGAGTGAAAGTTGAGCTCCTCCGAGGACATGGCTGCTTTCAGCTACAGGCTTTTAGAACTCTCTCCAACATGGCAGTCCAAATGCTCAATCCTGGGGACAGCTTCTTCGACGTCTTCCCACCCTTCAGGACTGACGTTGCTTTTGTGGCGATTTCGCTTCGGCGACGACAATAGACGAATCAAGAGGTCGACTTAATGAGACCAGCCACAGTGGCACCGTCCCGCGCTGTTTGAGCCCATTCAACAAAAGGTTTGCCTCGCGAAACTTTCGTTGAGATCCGACTGCTTCCTGCAACATCTACAGGACAGCGTCTTGCAGACTGGGCACCGATAAGGTTGAAAGCATCCTAGCACACCGGCTTGCGCACAATGGCGTCTGCCCAGACGAATTGCCGGGCCAAACGTAAGAGCATAAAAATTGCACGTTTTTTCATGCACGTGAAACACGTGTCACGTATTTTTTTTTTATCATATTGCTGCTACAAAATTTTTTGCCTGCCACGTTCAATTTGTTGCAGCAGGGTTCAGCTGTATACACAATTACGCTTGGCCAAAACATGCGCGCAGAGTGCTTAAAAAGTACTGCTGAACAAAGCTGCACTTCTATATTAAGGGGCCAGACTGGTCTTAAAAATTTTTTGTTTAGTTCTTCAGTGATCCTAATCAAACTGCACCCAATTATGTAGTTTTTTCTGCTGATTTCAAGTATTTAATTAGTTTTTTTGGAACTGGTCTTGTTTCTGAAATAACTTAAGGTCACTCCCTATTGTTTAAGGCCGCCATAGAAAAAAAAGTGCGTAATTAAAAGTGATATTTAAGATATGCCCACATAGGCTAATGACTATAGATTGAAAGTATGAAAGAGTTTTTTTTTTTTGTTTCTGGGCCTTTGGTTATATAATAGCAAAATGAACTATACATTTTTAAAAGCAGTTGGAATTGTGTTACAATTTTGATGAGTAATTAATTAAAAAGGCTTGTGCTCTAAATTCTGCTCCCATACTTCCATTACACGTGTATACAGCTTTTCATTGCAAAAAGAATTATTGTTGTACCTGCCCTAGCTGCAGAGATATTGAGACCTCAAAAGGGAACAGTCATAAATTTACTTTTTTGAAAAAATTGGAAAAAACTGAAAACACACAGCTTCTTCAAAAAGCAGCAGTCATGGTGCGCATGTTTTGCAATCCTCATAAAGGTACTCATAAATTCATAGCAGAGCTTCTAACACAGGTCCCGGCAAATCATAAAAAAGCCTTGAAGTCGGTTCCCCATTTTTTGCAGGTTCTGCATGTTGAAAGCGCCAAGAATCTGGACAGTTAGAATGACATTACAAAAAAATTACCACTTCCTGGTGTTTCAAAATTTGCAGTGAGATAGAAAAATACTTGCAGAAAGGAAATATATCAATTTTAAAAAATGAATTTTTTGGTCACTTCTTGGTCCCAAAGACCAGTCTGCCCCGTTAAATTATCTTTCAAAATAACAGAGAACCGTTTGATTGGAACTAGGAGCCATTTCATTGGAGGTAGGAGCAGACTGTTATTCTCACCTTAAAAAAAAAAAAGGAATCAAATGCACTTCTTTCCAAAATGACGAGTACCAAAATTTTCTGCGTGGAAAAGCGAAACTGAAATCATATTGGCAACAGCCTCCCGTCCGAGCGGTGATATACATTGTCATCGCTATTGCAAAGTAGTGATGGTAATGTGCCGCCTTACATATGAATGCCAATATCAAGGGAGAATTAGCATTTCGCTTGCTGAAGATAGCAGCATCATGTCCTTTCTGTGAGCATGATGTCTGTGGCTCTGAGTAGTGCAGACGAAAGAGGGGATCTTGAGCTGCACGTTGACTTGGAAGAGTTTCCATGAGCCGAAAACTGGTCAACATCCTGACCTAGAAGACGACTCTTCTGAAGAGCTTAATATACTCTATGCACATGGAGCTTGCCTAGGTAATGGCACTGGAACATGCACACAATTGAATTATATCCAGAAGCAATTTGGAAGTCGAGAAAACTGAATCACGGAAGAAAATGAAATGCCACGAGGATAAATTTTGCATTCCCGAATTGTCCCTTCCTCTTTTACCTAACTTTCAATGTAAATGCACATCAGTTTCATGTTGGACGCTTAGTTTTTATGCTTTTCGAGCTATATGCAGCTCTCGCTGCATAGGTCATAGGTTCTAGCGCCTCAGCATAGTGGCCACAAGTGTCATAGCCTGAGCAATTTCTCTGCGCGCATCTCTTTGCAATCACTACTGTTCTGTGAAGTATGTTTCGGATGGCTTATCTGAGCTTGACTCATTTCTTTGCTGCTATTTTCACAGAAACCTGCATCAACGTTGACTGCAACCCAGAGGCTAGGCTGTGGGGATGATGACGATGATGACGACGGTGATGATGAAGAGGCTGCTGACATGGATGCCTTTGTGGAGAGTGGACTTCTGGATGCGGAAGACACGGTGCGTTTTCAGTTTCTCAGATCCGCCTGAAATAATTTATGTTAGCATTTCAGGTTTGGTGGCATGTTCTAGCTCATAATGATGGTCATGCAAGACACTCCTTAATTTATCACCCACAGTTTTAGACATCCAACAGGTGGCATATTCTGTTGCTTTTGATGAGAAAGGCACATTTGGCATCAACCACCTCACACCTTTGCACTTTGGCAACAAGATCCTGCTAGTCTCTCTGCCTGTTGATAAATTTAGGATAAACTTCAAGTTAGGAGTTGCTTAAAGAATTCTTCTGTCGGCTTAGCAGATGGTCCTTATTAAGACAGCGACCCGCCGCAGTAGTCTAGTGGCTAAGGTACTCGACTGCTGACCCGCAGGTCGCGTGATCTAATCCCGGCTGTGGCGGCTGCATTTCCGATGGAGGCGGAAATGTTGTAGGCCCGTGTGCTTAGATTTGGGTGCACATTAAAAAACACCAGGTGGTCGAAATTTCCGGAGCCCTCCACCACGGCGTCTCTCATAATCATACGGTGGTTTTGGGATGTTAAGCCCCACATATTAATCTTATTAATACAGCACTTTTTTTCTGCCTGTTGGACCTTATCAATAGGTGTGCTTCTTTGGTTGACCTTTTTGGTTATTTCCACTGTCGCGTGACCTTTTCCACCAAAGAGATTGCCACTAGTACATTTGCTAATGGAGGTCTCTTCAATAGGTCTCATGTAACGTCTCGCATGATGTTCTATTGTGACCCCTGAAGTGTCAATAATTAACGTTTTACTTAGTTCATCCAGGATATAAAAAGTAAGCTGCCTAGCTATCGTCGCCCACTGAAGTCGACAATAGTTCCTCTAGTAAGGAGACTATTTATAAAAAGTGAGCAGGTGTTCCATGTTTTAGTGCATATAGGATCCATTGCAATTGTAGCCAGCATTGGAGACAGTATAAATCGGCTATTAAAAAGAAAGCCCTACTGGAAATTAATGGATGGCACCTTGGAGATGTTTGTGAAGCTCGGCATGACCTTGCACTAACGAAAAAAAAAAAAAACAATTGAAATGCGGGAGCTACACTGGTGGTGCGAAGACTGATAAAGCAGTGGGATTGGTGGTGTTTCCCTCATCTGTTCCCTCCTTTCTGTTCCCTCCTTTCTGCTTCCCATTCCCACACATTACTATACTATATCGCACGTGGCTACGCTCTGTCTTCTTTTTTTATTTTTTTATTTGTTTTTTTTTTTGTCTTTCTATTTTTCTCTCTTTCTTTGTCATTCAATCTACTTGTTCTTTCATCTGTAAAAATTATTGCATCTCATGCCGAACAAATCAGCGCCCATGTTCTGGGAGCAAAGCAGATGATGTAGAAATGGCAAAGAGATCATGTGCTGGCTTATTATTGTAATAGTTTGCTGGTGTCACCATACAGTATAACAAAATGCTTAGCAGTTCCGTTGTAAAAAGATTTTTTTTAAAAACACTTACCCATAATATTGTGGTTTTTCATGTTTTCGTCTGTGCAGATTACCTTTCCATTGAGCCTAAAGCATTCTACTTAGCCACCGTGTTGCTTTAACAGCAACGTAATGTTCAATACTTCTTTTTCCGCCGTTGTCCTTGCAAAGCTGCCCGTTTAACTGTAGGGCAATACGAGTCATCTTCCACTCATCTGTCTATCCAGGCAGCTGTTGTGAAGAAAGCCGAGGCAACAGACAAGTCTCTCAATGCTGGAGGTGAGGGCGAACCTGGCTCTTTAGATGGTGCCATTGTGAGCACCCGCACCTACGACCTCAACATCACCTATGACAACTACTACCGCACTCCACGACTCTGGCTATATGGCTATGATGAGGTATGATCTCATGTGTAAAGTGCTTTTGGAATAAAATGCAATAGCAAAACTCAATTCATCAAAACTACCTTGTAGATATGTATCTAGGTGTGAACCATGCATATGGCAAACCACTTGACATCCACTTGAATCTGTATCAGTTTCCTTGTATCAGTGTGCTACAAATGGGTGGTCAATTTTCTTCTTCGTAACGATCCCTCCACCTTGCCAAAAAGCGTAGCATTAATTTGCAATGTTCAATTTCGATTACTTGGTTGTTAATTCTTCCTTGGACTGCCTTGCGGTGACTTGAATTAGTCGAAGGACAGCTCCTGAATAAGGTTGGTTCGTACCAAGGAGGTTACAAAAAATTTGGGAGTGTAAGCTCTTGTGATGCCTTGTCGTTAGCCAGGGGGTATAAGAAATTTTGAATATTTTTATAATATTGTTTGCTATTCAATTAGATTCGCATTGGAATTTCACTTGTTGAACTTCCCGTACAGAAATAGTCTACGTCCAATAAAAAGTGACCCCTTCGGAGTTTTAGTATGCTTCACCTCATTACACTTTTGTGTTGCGGTAAAGCTACCTTCTATGCTCCGCTACGATCGCAGATGTATTGACTCGAAAAACCGCTGTTTCAAACCTGGAAGTGATGGAGGTGGCAGAAGTGGGAGCTCAATTAATTCTGTTTTTGACCGGAAATTCGGGCAGGAGGTTCGTAAAATTGGATGTGGAAGATTTCTAGCATAGAAAATTTCAGATGTTCATATAATGATGTCTGCAAGGCATATTAAGAACTACGGATTCGAAGGGGAGCACACCCTTGTCCTCCACATCAGTTTAACTTCCACAGAAGTTGAAAGGGGATAGGCTGGGGGCATTGCACATTTGCCTTTCACATGTGAAAAAAATGGTTGCCCCAAATCATGTACATAAAAACATTTCGGCCTCTGCATTGTGTCATTCTTGATAAGCCAACTCTAAAATACCACCCCTCCTGCGCTTGATCTACCTAGCCAAGAGAAACACCTTTATGTTGCTATCTCATAAGAATATGTGTAGGGGTCCTCTCCAACTTTGTTTTCTGCTATTTCACCTCGAAATATTAGAAAAATATTCCATTGGAGTTGCGCTTGCAATTCAGTATTCAAGTTCGCTTCGCACTGAGAATTTAGCCATTTCCACAGCTCTACTTATCGTAAAGTGTAAAGCCAGCTTTTACCCTCAATACTCTCAGAAACATGCTATTTTCGGGTGGTGCCCACTTATATGTCTAAGTGGTTTTGTTCTGTTATTGTAAGTGCTAGGTCAATTACCGTTGAAGCTCATTGATTCAACTGCAGTTAACACGAGTTTACAGTCAATTTGATCTGATGCCTTAGTCCCGGCATAGACCTTTGCATTTCAGCGGGGAAAACTCCTATATTTACTAAATGGCGCCCAAGCGAGGCGATAACACAAGAGAACACACAAAACACAAGCACCGATGAAAACTCGCGATAATTCAAGTGCGTTGACATCCACAATGATTTGTTAAAATTGGGTTTACGTCACTCTTCGCAGAAGTTGACTCGGAGTGATTACAGTTTGTTACCAAACAAAACCAAATTTACTGGAGATGCAAAACAACGTGGTGCTGCCACGCTTGACGTGTTTCTCTGGTGCAAGTGCGCCATCTCTCTTCCATGTGCCCGAAATACCTGTGGTACAATGTCCCTTCAGTCTAGTGTCAGCCTGCTAATTCGAACTCTGCTTGATGAACATTTGCGTTGAATTATTTTATGGCCTTTTCGAGCTCGAATTAACAGGTCTTTATTGCATAATACAAAAGATTGATGATCCTTATGAAAGTAACATATTGAGATGACTATTAACGGCTTAATCTCTAATAGAATTTGTCAAGAGTTTGAAGCTTACCAAGGAAACCAGTACCACAAAAACACATTTCGAGCAGTATTTGCGCTGAACATTGAACATGTAGGCCGTTTAAGTAAATTGTTCCCTTTTTCTTCCCAAACGCTGAGGTTTTATCATGCCCCTACTAGGATGACGGCCGCAGCAGCCATTTTTCGGGTGGCTAAGCTTCACTCTTCAGGTGTTATTTACAGTCCAGCAATGGTTGTTACATCCTCCTTGTTTCAGAGCAATCCGTTCTACAAATAAATGGCTGTCAATTTTCTCTTTCACAGCCCTTCCTTCACCTTGCAGGACTCTGCAAAACTGATTTGCCTAAGGTAGCATACTGCCTCCAAAATTTCAAGTTCACATAAAAACTAACCATGAAAGGTGTAACAAGTGAAAAGTATGACACCATGTTTTCTAATGTAGTACACAGATTTATGTGCCAGCTTTGGCAGTTTTAAAGTTGAGGCAGGTAATTTTCTGACAGAAAATTTCAGTTTGTGTGCAAGGCTGTGGCTAACAAGACACCTTTAGCCCCATTGTCGAATGTGATAGCCACTTTTCTTAATTAGCTTGGCCAAATTTAGCTAGGGCACTCTGTAAATTTACCTATGGCATTTGAAGGTGTGCTTCTTGCAAAGTTTAAATATTTGCTTTGGGTAGTCTATGTGGCTGTTCCATGTTTAAGTGACATTGTAAGGCCATCAGTTACAATTAGCATTTCATTTTGCAAAGCCTGTTTTGTCACTTTGTGTTGAGAACCCAGCACTATCATTTGACATCGGTTGGGAACACCTCTGGCGTGAAAACAATAGGGGCAACTTGTACAGCATATCTTGTAAATGTGACCTATAGGACCACCTTTTTTGGACTCTAATTACCGTGTTGTGATGTCTTTTTGGGCAGAACCGACAGCCTCTGAGCATGGAGGCCATGTATGAGGACATCAGCCAGGACCATGCCAAAAAGACGGTCACCATGGAAGCCCACCCTCATTTGCCAGGACCTCCGATGGCCTCTGTCCACCCTTGCAGGTATGAACCTCGAATGGCATGGGACAGTGTCAAAATGTGCTAGCTGCTGCAGAACAGTCCCGTTTCAAATTCACTCTAAGTAATGTTGCACTATAGGCAGTCAGTCTTTCTTTCACAAAAAAAAAAAAGCAACCTCCTATTGTCTTTTGCTTCTACACTTCATGTGTGCTGGTATACGACTCACAAATGCTAATGTGCATCTTTTGTAGTCGTGCAAAACTTTGTTGAATATTATGACGTGAGAATGTCTTCCGTGTGTGTTTTCCTTCCATCTTCTTTTGACACCAGGCATGCTGAGGTGATGAAGAAGATAATCCAGACTGTGACTGAAGGCGGCGGTGAACTGGGCGTCCACATGTACCTGATCGTGTTCCTTAAGTTTGTGCAAGCCGTCATTCCTACCATAGAGTACGACTACACCCAGAACTTCGCCATGTGATACTCGGGCACTTGATGGAACCGTGCTCATTTTAAATTACTGTTTGGAAACTGCGGGGTACAGACAATGCTCACTTTCTTTCTTTTTGTGAACCGTATTCCCATTGTTGCAGCATAGGAGGGTGCAGCACTTCTGTGAACCTGCGCTTGCAGTAAAGCACTGCTGTGGAAGATGCATGTTTTGTCTCTACCTTGGTTGTATTCTATCAGTCTAGTTTGTGGCTCTCTATAAATGCATGTGGTGGGCTTGGGCCAATTTGTGTGGAAGATCATGGAGCATCTCAATGCACAGTTTTTGTATCTGGAAAATACCTACTTGATCAGTTGTCTGTGCCCCCAAAAGTTCCTACTTTACTTTTGAAAGTGTTTTAAGGTATTGTATAAGGCGATCGAGAGGTTGTTATTGTAAAGTATAACAATGGCACATTCGTTGCTGCAGCTTATGAACTCTAATATACAGATGCTAGTTGCACTCCATTGCTCACTTGCCAGGAAGACAACAGATTAGAATGAACTTGTAGAAGAAAATGTGATAAACGGCGTTTATCTCTACAAGCAATCTTTTCTGAGAATGGTTTGATATCTTCTTGTTGCAAAGTGCCCTCGTCTTTTTGCCTGTTGCAAGGGCATGCATCTTGCCTGCAAAATCTATTCACTGGCAATTTTAGAATTCTCACTGTGATTTTTGGAAATAAAGACAATGATGCAAATGAATGGTGTAATAGTACATCTCAAGTTGTCTGCCTGCCTCAAATGTGGCTTTATTTGCTTAAAGACGTTCGACATATACTTTATTTAGTTAATCTTTCATAGGGCTGAAAAAACGTGTGCAAATTAACTGATTGCTGAATCAAGACTCGAGAAAATGTTACAAAATATAGGTTACATCAATACACTTTCCTTTTTTTTTTGCGACTATATAAATTCTGTGCTTATCTTGTATTAAAGCAGATAGAAACTAAAATTTTTGTCATCCTGCGACTTTGTTCTCAGTGTGACCACAGTGTTTAATTAGCACAACAAGTGCTTTTAAAGCTTCCCTTGTTATGTACTACCACCATGTGCATGTGACGAACTGATAGCCCATCAGGATGTAACAAACGAGTCTTATGCCAGCATGCCGTCCGCAGCTGAAAGCTCTTCACCTTAAACAGCCTCCTCCATGTTTGAGTCTTGTGACATTGTGCGTGTATTGCATTAAGTTACAAAAAATTTCCCGAGTGCCACATCCACATGTGGATAGCACTTCTTTTCGGCTGTCTTCGCACAATGCTTTTTGCTTTTGCGCCCCACATTTGTCATGCTACCCGATTGGTGTTCTCTGAGGATTGGCTGAATTAATCTGGTTGTGGCCATATGTGATTGAAATGGTAGTCAAAATTTCCAGAGCCTTCCACTGCAGCGTCTTCTATAATTATATGGTGGCTTTGGGACGTTTAAACACCACATATAAGTCAATCAAATGTGATTGAAATTATCGGTGGATAGTTTTTATGTTGCCAGAAAGAGTGGGGGCCCCACTTGCTCTCTCACATTTCTCCCTCACACCCTACGTGTGTGCATCTGTGTGTGTATATGTGGAAAAGAGGGAGGGTCTGACTTCAAATTTTAAGTTGATCTGTAGTCTCCTAAGTGCTGATACCACAATATTGTCCTGAAGATCTCGAATGGAAGTTCATATTTATTTTTTATTTGCACAAATGCATCGATCCACCTTGTAGCACTTGGCTCCCAATGAAAAATGTCGCATAGGCAGCTACATGCTGGCTGCTTTGCTTAAGATCGATTCCCATAATACGTTGGATCTGACAAACTTTTTTATTCTCATGCCTTACTTTGTTTCAGTATGAACCAGACAGGACAGGTAGCTTTAGTTATGCCAGGGAATTCAATTTAAGAGCGCCAAAAGTAATTTTCGAGTGTTAGGAAATGCCACTTGCTACCACTATGCCTTGTGCGAAGCTGGGGCTGCAAATTTTTCTGCCTAAGATTATGGATTAGTATTTGAGTTGGCGTTTTCAGTGAGAGAGCTGGTAGTAAACTCTTTGTCTATAAATCAAAATTACGCATCATCTTTTCTCGGCAATTTCATAAGCAAGCATGTCAATGGGTGCCAATCTGTAGACAACAAAGAAATTACGCTTTTTGTATAGACAAGGAAATTTGTGGAAAACCATTAATTGACTGTGTCAGGTTTTTGCTCCGTAGGTAAGTACGGGCAAGATGCAGCTGTTATATACCTTCCTCTTGAGGGTCAGTGATAAATTACCATTCATGATTTGAGAATGCTTGCCGAATTTGATCCATCCTTCACATATTTCACTCCCATGGTTCAGCTCTGCGGTTACTGCGTGTCCTAACTTTACAACTTCCAGCGTCTCTCGGCCTATCGCAAAGGGCTGTGTTCTGCTGAGACTGTTGCACGTTACTTCAGTTTTGTGCATAATTTTCAGACCTGCTGTTCTGCTTTCTGTGTCCAGTTCAGTAAACATGAGCTTTGATTCGTCCCCTGTGTTACTCATCAGGGCAATGTCATCAGTGAACCACAGGTTGCCCTGCCGCAGTGATCTAGTGGCTAAGGTACTCGGCTGCTAACCCGCAGGTCGCGGGATCGAATCCTAGCTGCGGCGACTGCATTTCCGATGAAGGCGGAAATGTTGTAGGTCCATGTGCTCAGATTTGGGTGCGTGTTAAAGGACCCTAGGTGGTCATAATTTTTGGAGCCCTCCGCTACGGGGTCTCTCATAATCATGTTGTGGTTTTCGGACGTTAAACCCCACATATCAATCAATCAACCACTAGTTACTAAGGTACTCTCCATAAAATTTTATCCCTAACTCTTCCCAATCTAGGGCCCCTGAAAACCTCCTGTAAACACGTGAACAGCATTGGAGCGATTGTGTCTCCCTGCATTACACCCTTCTTTATTGGGGTTCGGTCGCTTTCTTTGTAGAGAACAATGGTGGCTGTTTATCCACTGTGGATTTCTTCCAGTATGTTTATGTAGGGTTCGTCGATGCCCTGGTTTCGTAGTGCCTTCATCACTGCTGATGCCTTGACTCAGTCAAATGTATTCCGCGCATTTCTCTATCACCTGATTGATAGCATGAATATGGTCTATTGTGGAGTAGCCTGTACGAAATCCTGCTTGGTCCTTTGGTTGGTTGAGCTCAGTCACCTTAATTCTATTAGCTATTATTTTTGTGAATAGTGTGTAGAGAACGGACAGTAAGCTGATCAGCGTGTAATTTTTCTAGTCCTTGACATCTCCCTTCTTATGAATTAAGATGATGTTGGCGTTCTTCCAAGATTGTGGTAGCCTTCGTGTCAAGAAACATATCATATATAAGGTGACCTGTTTTTCTAACACAATTTCTCCATCATCTTTCAGGGGGTTTGTTGTTGCCTCATCCTCACCAGCGGCTTTGCCTCTTTGCATTTCTTCTAAGGCTTTCGTTTCTTCCTCTGTTGTTATCGGTAGCATGTCAAATTCCTCTGGGCTATTATTGCTTCTTACGATATCATCCTGGTTGTTTCGGGTCCTGTACAGCTCTCTGTAGAACTCCTCCGCCACCTCAACTATCCTAATCATATTGATTATGGCATTGCCTTTCTTGTCTCTTATTGCATACATCCAATTTTTCCTTACGCACAAGTTTGCCTTTGCAGCTTTAGGCTTCTGCCACTTTTTACAGCCTGCTTGATTCTCTCCATGTTATACCTTTCGATGTCTGCTACCTTACGTCAAATAATCAACTTTGAAAGCTCCACTAGCTCAATTTTGTTGGTTGCATTCGAGGCTTTCATGGTTTGTCATATCTCAATGAGACTTTTCATCTCCCGAGATAGTTTGCCAGTGTCCTGTGTAGTGACTGTACCTCCGACTTCCATTGCACACTCTTTGATGGTACTAGTAGGATTATCGCTCATTGTGTCAACCCCAACGACTGTTGCCTCGTTGAAAACCTCGAGTCTATTCTGATGTGGAATTCTGATTTCCTCTACTTTCCCTCTCACCGCTGGCTCATTAAAGGGCTTCTTGCGTATCAGTCTCTACCTTTACTTTTTTAAATCTAGGTGAATTCGAGCTCTTATCATTCTATGGTCGCTGAATCAGATTTTGCCAACTACTTGTACATCTTGTGCAATGTCTGGGTGGGCACACAGAATGAAGTCTTTCATTTTAGTTTTGCCATTAGGACTCTGCCACGTCCACTAACCGTTAGCCCGTTTTCTGTAGAAGATATACAAGATCCATAAATTATTACGTTTTGCAAACTCTACTAGTAACTCCCCTCTTACATTTCTAGAGCCTACGCCATACTCCCCTCCCCCACTGCATGGTCTCCTGCCTGTTTCTTGCCTACTTTGCCATTAAAGTCGCCCATCAGTATAGTGCACTTTGTCTTTATTAATTGCTGACTCACTCCTAATTCTGTCTTCAAAAAATTAAGATTAGCACACTGCTTTTGTTTGTGAAAAACCATGTATGCCATGAATGTCAAACATGCAGAAACCACAAGGCACTTTTTTTGTAATGATGCAACTCCTGGCTTTTATTTGCAGCCTCATGGTCTATACAATGTGTATTTCTCCCTCTCTCTTTTTCCTTTAAACACACTGCATGTGGTATCTACATAGCTCTTGCAGGTTTGTGATTAGTGTGGTTGTTTCACAGCTGTAGCTTCCCACTGTGTTGGTGTGAGTTTACCGGTTCAACCCCCAGATAAATTTTGGTGGCAAAATACAAAAATGAGAAAAAAAAATTGCCAGTGGTGAACATTGAGAGCCATGCTGCACATCTGTCATAGACCACTAGTGTAGTTTTGCAGCATCGCCATGCGTGCTACTATTGCAGAGAGCAGACACTTGAGCTTACCTTGCACGACTATTCTCACTACTCTGAACTAAAGCACAAGATTAATCGATTTAAGACCATTCGTAACAAAATGTTTTTGAGTGGTGGCTTCATGTGCTTAGGAGCAAAGGGCGACGTACTGTGTCCTTGTAATGAATAGAACTGGGGCAAACTGCATGGTCGAGCTCTTTGTGGAGCATGTAAGCTTGAGCTGTGAAAGCACTGATGTGTGAATGTTCCCCTGCCTTCTAGTCTCCCTACTTCCCTTGAATGGTAGCGAACAGGATTTTCTATTTTGGTTAATCTCTGGCATTTCTCTATATTGTGCTCTTTCTAAACGTAACCTGCAATTTAATATTCGTTTAATGTGATAGCGTTAAATAGCGTCGTTGGTCGTGAGCAAAAAAATTATCTTATGTTTGACCTAAAAATCAACAACGATGCTAATAAAGTAAATAAGATGAAAAATCCTGGAAGCAGGGTGGGGCCGAACTAGGGCTGTTTGGGTCTGAACGGGGATCGAACCTCGGTCGTTTGCGTGGCAAGGGGATGTTCTAACACACAACCACGCATCTGCTTTTTTTTTCCTTTAATGAATGAAATGATCACCAGTAAAGTAAACACAGCATACTTCATCAGAAGTCAGGCAAACACACACAAGCGTCAAAAATTGGAAGCCACTCCGGAACGGGATCAAAAGTCTCAACAACACTGCGCACTTGGGCAGCTGCTTCTCGGAAGACAGATCTCGTCGACTGTGGTGGCTCTGCGTGTCTATCAATCTCTGCTTGTGAAAACAGTGAAAAGATCTTTCTCTGCTTGGAAATGCAGTGAAAGTAGCTTTCATGCTTCACATGTATACATGTCCTGTATACATGCTTCACAATGCAACATGAAATATTGCGGTAATAATGCATAGTACAAGCTTCTATCGCCAATGGGCGTCAGAATATGCGATTATCATAATGGCTCCAAGGTTGAAAGCCAGTACCCCACTACACAAGGCACACACCCTAAGCACCTGTTCCCTTAAGACCACGTAGTGGGTGCATAGCAAATTTGAAAAGGTTTCATGCGTTTGAAGTACACACTAGGAACAGGATGTTGCTATTGCATTCAATTCTTAAAGGAGAAGCTTTAGGGTCCCCTAATTTTTTTAAGGTCTCGGTTTATTGGTGAAATTTAGCATCTTATGTAGAAAACTGCAGGGGATGGTATCGCCACCACAATCCTCTATTTCCTATAATAATGTAACATTCATAAATTACAATGCGAGAGAAATGCCACCATTTCCTTCTACTTACAGTGCAGTAAAAGATTGTTTTGTTTATGAGTTGTTGGTTCAATCTTGAAAATGTACAAGTGCGACCCTCTGATGATGCTAACGATTAGTGGCATTTTTTTATTGCACAAAAGCCAATCTGGCCGAAGAGCGCCAGGAGATGTTGCGCACGAGACTCGGTGATTCTGCAAAGGCTTTCTTGCGCTTTGGTTGGTCTGTACAAAGTGAACCACAGGCTGGTTGCATGTAGCTTTTAATGCACTGAGACGTCCCATGAACACAAGTGAACAGTGTTTGACAGAGCAATAAGGAGGGAAAAAATGGAACACTAGAACATCATCTTTGTGTGTATTTATTCACGAGTTTCCCAGCTTTTTTTGTCTATGCACAAATGACCATCACACACCCACACAGTTCTTTTTTGCGCTGTGTCGCTTGTTCAAAGTGACTAGAACGTAATGCGTTGCTGGAAGTATGTGGATTCATGCTAACGAAACTCCATCACCATTCGTAAAGACAAAGCATGCATACACTAGATCTCGTGTAGACTCCAGCAGAACTTGCTGTAAAAGACCTGCGGGCACAGTGAACAGTGTACTGAAACAGTACGTATAAGCACAGGCACTTTTATGTTCTACAGTGCTGTAAACTATAGATGCTTTATAAAAGCTCCGTTCAATATGCTTTCATTACAATGGATCAAAATGGAGTTTAACTGCTTCACGTAAATCTGCAACGCCACTTGAGATAAATAGGAAATAAGGCTGGAAAAAAAAAATGGCTGAAGAAGAGGCACGCATGGTTGTTGGCATAACAGAAACACAGTGCAATATTACTTACAGAATTGTATATATGTATAAAATTAAAGATGTGCACAAGCTTTACTTTAGTGCTCTAACGAACGCAACATCTGTCAATGCAGAGTCAGCTTATGGACTTCAGTACTGTTTGGGTATAAATAAAAGCTGCTTCACCAGAGGTGCTATTTGCAAAAGCCCCATACGCTATAGCAACAGCTCTAGAATGCTGCAAAGTTGAAATTGCTGCACTTAGACAGCCTAATGGTGCTAGTGGCAAACACAACTCACCTTAATTATGTTAATTTACTCCCTGCATGTATAAACTAAAACACATGCTACTGCAGTCCACTGCTTCAGTAACAACTATAATCTGATTGTGTCAAAATGAGACATTCATTTTGTTGGACATCATATTTCCCCAAGCAAAACAGCTAGTTTGTGCTACCTAAGACGCAAGAGTGAGAAAGAAATCAGAGCGGTGAACCAGGTTAACAAACCATTTGGCGACTCTCCGTGACACAGAATTTTTTTTTTCCATAAATCAAAATGTTCATGTGCTAATTGTTTATCGACAGTAGTGCCTTTTAAATACTCAATACCTACCAAATGAAACAATGTTCTCAAAGGGGATTTTGCAGAACAAGCTCAGAATTTCTGACAAAGGTGTAATGATTTAAAGCATTCAATTCGGCAGTGTTACCCACAAAAAAAAAGGGGGGGGGGGGGGGGCAGTGCAACTATAGTAGTTGCCAAAATGCATTCAGTGCATGTGAGCATTGTTGTAGATGCACGTCAAGGGTGGTTCACAAGTGACACTACTTCCCCACACTGCACATAGTGTAGTTCAATATCTGTATGGCGGGTAGCACAAACCCAAGTTTTTCACTAACAGGGCCAGTCTCGCTTGTTTAGTACTGTAAGAAATCAGTCGAGCAGGCATTAACAAGTGAAGGTTTCTGCTAGTTAGTGGCCTACAGTACCATGAGAAGCCACATCCTTGGATGACTCTGACTAGCGTGGATGGCTAGCATTGTATGGTTTAGAGTTGCATGGAAACGAGCAACGTGCGCACATCTTAAGACAAATATTATGCCCGCTATTTGCCAATGTGACTCGTAGCAGGTCACTTTGCGTTAACTTAGGGGCGACTATTGCTAGTTGAAAACTCTTTTAATCACTGCAAATAAAATTCTTGTAAATGTAACAATGCTGACTGCAATATCTCAAGCCTAAAGGCAATACTAGAAGTAATGCAGAATGGCATAGAGACATTACAGGCAACACTGCGGGCCTGCCAAGTAGCAGCTAGCAATGCATGATTAGGAAAGTGTTCATGTCAGCATTGGCAGCACTGCTGTTCACTTCACACAAATATTAAAACAAACATCATTGCCTTTCCCTGGCATTTGTTCTCACCAAATGGCTATTAAACACCTATTCGTCATAGTTTGTTGTATACAGTTTTAAAGAGAGATGGAATTCGAAAAAAAGTTTCTTTAATCTGTAGCCTAAGGCAATTAAATGTTCACTGTTCACTAAGTTTTTATAATAATTTCAAATATGCGATCAGTTTTATAGTAAGTTGCATAGTTACCGTTTTGTGCCATGATAATGTGTAAAATATAACAGAATTTTTCTGCCACTAAACTTCTTAAATTATGAGTCATTAATGGCCTCATATTGCTCCAGAATAACTGTAGACTGCAAATAACAATAAAGTGTGTATAATACATTTAAACGAACGAGAAAAATTTTAATGTGAGAAGTGTTCAAAGCTCAGCCCATACCAATTGCTCACTTTAAATTTATAAAAATTTATAAATGATATCGTGCTCTAAAGCAAATAATTTCACTTAGCACATGTTCAGGAATATGTCGCAAGAATTTCACGTTGATCTGGCCATCAGTATAGTACCAAACACATGACATCCGAACTCTAGGAGTTGTCCGAAATTGCTCCTTGAAAAAACACATCTTAATGTAGGAATGAAAGCTAATCAAAGGAGCAATGATAAAACGATTTCTTCCGTTATGAAAGCTTGGGAACCATGGTTATTTTGAGCATGTGGCTTTGAGGGACTCTTCTTGCGAAATGCAACGACAAGCAGGCATGAGACAATTTCGGCGGACTGTAGATAATCATCTTATTTTGGTTTTTTATAGCCACCTTGTCCTCTTTAAAGGGGATTTCGTCCATTTCGAGTTCAACTACAACCTTGATTTTTTTGTAGTGAAAATAGACAGTTAAACTTGAAACCTTATTTCAACTCGAGCTTATGAAAGAGACAAAAAACAAAAAAGTATGTAATTTTGGAAAAATAACTTGTTTTTCAACTCTAATCTCCCCTTAAGCTCTGTTTCATCACTCAGAGCTAGTAGTGCAGTGTCAATCAATAAAGGCTGCTAGTTGCTACTTGACTCTTTTCACAGCAAGGTTCTGACGTAGCTTTATAACATTCAGTCCGACGTAGCTTGTAACGTTCAAGTTAAGCTCTCGCTATGCTTTCTCAGTGAAGGTCATTCATTACTTTTTACTCAGACCTAGCAGCAGTGTCAATCAAAATACGTTGCTGGCAGCTACCTAACAGTCTTCACAACACACTGTGTGTGGCCATGGGTATTACCACATGTGGGCACTATACATTTTCCTTGCTGTTTGGATGTAGTTGCAATGCAGTGGAAGCAACTGCTCTGCATGTCACAAAAATTAGCGCAGGGGTCTCAAACAAGTGGTGCACACCATCGTTCTCTCCTCTAGTCTTTCATATCACGGGTTGTTGCCCGAACATTTCTCAACATCCCTTCCCTTCATCTACACTTGGCAGTGGTCCTTGAACTAAATGCACAATGAAGCTAATGCGTGCTAATTTGTGCTTTCATAGTCATGATCAGCCAGCTTTCTGAAAGTCTGTGTCGTGCCTTTGCGGCAGAAGGTGTCCAACACAGTGCTGGTTGCCTTCAGTGTTGACAAAATGTAGTCAGCCTGGTGAGCCACTGGTAAGCTCTTCCTTGCTGCTAGCATTTCGGCAGCACGGACGCACGTTTCATTGAGCTTATGTAAGGCGCAAAGTACTTCTAGCTTCTTCTTGTCTCCCAGCATGGCCGCTTCTTCGATTGACTCAATCCTTGAAAATGCGAAACTCGTGCTCTCGGCCAGTGCTTCGGCAGTCATTGTGTTCACCACCTCTTCGGTCATTCCCACTGGCTCGGCAAAGATTTCACTTGCATGAATGAGACATGCATGGATGTGCCGACACATGTCCGTACTCCCACAAGTGCAATGGTATCTATGAAGGCAGGCACTGCATTGCTTGCAGCGAGGTTGACAATTGATCTTGCGGCAGCTGAGCACCTCGTTAACATCATAGATGACACCTCCATCATTTACTCTCCACTGGTTGTCAGTAACATGAACTATCTGTTCAGGAGAAATGTTCAACGCATCCTGATGTGCTTGCACGATTTTCAGTTTCATCTGATGAGCAGACCTAGGACGAGGACGTTTTGGCTTCAAGAGTGGTTGTTCATGCTCCAGCGCATCTTGTGTGTCTGAAGATTCCTCCAGATTAAGTGACGTTTCAGCATGCACCTCTTCAATGTACATGGTCTCAATTTGTGGCTCCTCGGATTGCAGCTCTTCTATATGCACTTCTTCAACAGGCACTACCTCAACTGGCAGACCAGATGATGTCATTGCTTCAAAGGTGATGGTGTCAACAGACACAGTTTCAACAATGTTCATTGCATCGACTGACATTACCTCAACCGGCACTACATCAGAATCAGTAGCAAGTAGGTCACTTGAAGCTGGTCCCATCTGCTTTTTTGAGCTTTCCACCTCAGGCTGCGTTTGACGCAAAACTTTCATGTAGTTCTCGTACTGCTTGGATTCAGAGGCAAGCAGCAGGTTATGGGCTATCTTGTCTAATCTTTTCACTTTTAGGCGGCTTGCAATGCGCCTGAACAACGTGTGGAAGTCTTCAATGTTGATATCAAGGTCCCTGAAGAAACAACTTCCCCACTGCTCCGGCCGTCCAGCATAGGTGGATTCAAACACATCTCCAAAGCTGGCAGTGTCGCTATCCATTTTGAGCATGCTTATGACACGGCGCAGCATTTTCTGAAAGGATTCCACAGACTCCTGGTTGAATAGCAGGTCTAGCGACCTGGTTACAGCTGCCTGCTTCTCCCGTCCACGAACCCAAGTGTTGATGGCTTCAGTCCATGCACGCTGTACGTGCCACGAAGATATAATCTTCTGCGGCCGTGGCTCGGCACCGAAAGCTTCGAGCCAGGCCGCGAAATAGAAGTCGGTGTCTTCGGACATGAAGAATCGCGGCGTGAAGTCGCCCATGTTCTGACGGACGGCTTCGAAGAAAGCAGTAACGACAGCCGGGTTGGCTGCTCCGCAGACGCACCAGGCAATAGGAACCACCACACCGACAGATGTCGTGGCCAAAAGGGCAAGCAACGTGTACTCGGAGCTATGGCCGGTCACAGGCTCGACGCAAACGAGCGCGGAGTCCACATTGACCAGATCGCGCTGGTAGCGCGTCTGAATCACTAGTGCCATGTCGTCGTCAGCCAAACCCCGAAAAGCGGCGACGTCGGCGTCTCCGGAGGCGTCTGAGGTCGCGCCCCGGGATTTGTACAGAAGGATCGGACTGTACGACTGGGCCGCAAAACGCGCAGCAAGCTTGCGAACACTCCGGTCGTCGTCCACGTCCAACTTCCAAGAAAGCAGACCTTCGGAGACGGCGATGTTACGGATATCGCCCATCGTGATGAGGTGCGTGCGCGTTATTTCCCGCGCGTCCTGCGGGAAATCGCTGCGAATGTTCTCGAGGATGCGGTCAAAGGGCACGCCGCGCCGAATCTCGGCCAGAATCGCGCGCCGGTCAGCAGCGGAAATGCGAAGGTGTACGACGTCCATGTCGTGACCGTAGTGAGTGAGACAGCCGTTGACACGCACCGCCCCCGTGAGCAGGCACTCGCGGGCGTTCAGGTACGCGGTACACCAACCGCCCATCTTGCACGAGCCCTGCGATTTGATCCTACGCCGTCGAGCCGTAGTCTTCACGTTGCTAAGACCAGAGCGATGACAAACGTAGCGATGGACAGTCGCCCGAGCCTGCGTGTCGCTGGCCCGCGCCGCGAACTGCGTACGGTTGGCGCGAGACACCAGGTCCATCCACTCGCGAAAGTCGCTCATCGACTCGAACTCTTCCTGCACCTCGACCAGCGAGTGGCCGTGCTCGACGACCAAGTGATCGCGCATGTCGTCGCGCCTTGTGGCAACATAGGCGCAACCTTGCTCCCCGCACTTCACCTCCCGGCCAGCTCGAGCCGCTTTCGTCGGGTCGGGCATCACCTTGTGCACGCGTCGCTTGTGCTTGGACAGGCTGCCCGACGTGCTGAACTCCTTGTGGCACAGCGGACACTTGGAGAACTTTCCCATGAACGCCATGGCCGTGCATCAACAGCGCGGCTCCGTGCAGAGGCTGTGCCAGCGTTTCAGTACATAAGCGAGCCGCTTAATCTGCGACTGCAGGTGCGATCGGCGGGCCAAAAGCTACGATGGCAGCAGGTATCGGTGACTATCGAAGCCTGTGCCCGAGGCCCATGCTAGAAGTAAACAGTTCATCATGGGACTCTTGGGCACACCACGCAGCGCCCCATTTTCCCATGGAAGCCACCGAGGCCGGAAGCAACAACGGCCGGAAGTTCACGACCGTCTGGAGACTGGAAGTGAGGTGCGAGGTTTTCGTTTTCGACATACAGCTCAAAGTTTTATGGCTTTAGCCATTGCCTTTAAATAATTTAACAATCACCTTAACGCGAGAAAAAAAAACTGGCAGGCACAGCCAATTTTGAACATAGTGGCGAAAATATTCAAGAAGTGTGATTTGACATGTGCCTTCTTTATTTTTTCAGTGCCCGGGCTAGAGTGTACTAGAAAAGTTGAGTGGTGGTGGTGGTAGTGGTTACAATGAAGAGGAAAAAGGCACCTAATTTCTGTCTGCCTTCAGGCGACACGGCGCAGTGCCTTATAGGGGTGGGGGGAAGGAGGGATAAAAAGAATAGAAGGAAAGTAGAAGCAGAAGAAGACAGCCAACGAGAGGAAAAAGAAGGAGATAGGAAAGTGGGGATCCGGTCGAAGCAGTCCAAGGGCGGGGTGCCACAATGCGAGAGCTACACGGCATCAGGAGACCGCGGAGGGCGAACCAGTCGGCGGGAGCTACGCTGAAGTCGGAGATCGCGAGGGCACAACCGTCCAGCTTGAAATCCTGCGAGCGAATCAGTTGAGTGGCGAGACCGCGCCTCGCCGCCTGAACCTTTCCACGTTGCTGGTAGCGGCGGCGCTGCAGTCGAATCATACTGAGAGAGCCGCGCGCCGCGTGCAAGAACTGCTATGCGTTTCGGCTCCTCAGTCGCTCTTTCTTAATTCAGATTTCTTCGTACCTGCCAATCATTCATGTCTAGCACATTATGCCATAGCCCTTGAAGTATGACACGCCAATCTAGTGAATTTGAGCTCCATAAAAGCTTTTGTGAGAGATCGAAAATAATTCAGAAAGGGCGTGTCTTATACTGATTTCTTCTGTCTTAACTATTTCTTCGTTGGTTAGGCGCCTACAATATTCAGAATAACAGAGCCGATATATTGTAAATTAGCTGTGCTTTGAAAGCTGTGAGATAAAAAAAAAACGCCGTGTCAAATGCAGGCAGATCGGGGAAGCAATAAGTAAAGAGGGGAGAGGAAGGGAATCTGAACCCCCTACACCACGAAATGTTTTCATAATTAAACTATTCAGGGTATACTAAAATATTTACACGCATTCACAGCGACCACCGATTGCCAAAGTTAGCCGTTCTGCTGCACCCCACCCCTCAAAAAAAAAAAAAAAAAAAACCTGGGTAGCCTTGCGCCGAACGTTTACAGTTGGCGAAGCTGAATATAGCGTGTCTCTGTACAAATGCGCGCTATGAATTTCACCTTTTCACCGCATGACGTCTTAAAACTAGTTCAAGTTTAACGCAGCCGGACGAAAAATGCACCGCCTAAAAATAGTAGCATGCTAAGGGGCATTGCATGGAAATTGTTAAGGGGGTGGTGACGTGCGACTTAAATGCGTCGCCAACGTCTCATTATAGAAAAGAAACGTCAACATAGTATGTTGTCAGACGTTGGCGTCGCCATAGGGGGGGGGGGGGGGGGGCAAGGGTTCGTGCCGCTCCCTACACGCCACATTTTGTTACGCCATAGCTACACTGATACAGAGCCAGAGGCGCAGCTATGGGGGGGGGGGGGGGGTGCTCAAACTTGCTGAAATCGGTCAATTTGCTTGTGTATATGTCCATGTACGCACACTCGAGCACACATAAAGCATGGTTGAACCGCACCAAAAATTTTTTTTTCTGGCCAAAATGTGACCGGACCATGCACATCCACCTGCCCCCCCGCCCCCCCCTCGTCCTCTCCCATTCAAATCAAAAGTTTCCAAAAAGAAGTTCTGCTCGACCCTGCAGTGAGGTACTCAAAACAAAGTTTATCAGACAAAATAGATTTGGTTCAGCATGCAATGTCCAAGCTAGATTCATCGTTCTATTGCGGTGGCGTTGAGGTCTAGCTGAGGAGCGTCGTCGGTGTCGCCAATACAAAGTGGGCTGTTCTAAAACATATACAGCCCGGTTTCTGCTGAGATAAGTGCGGACCTTCTGTATGCTCAATGGCTTAATGTCCAGCAGGTACACAAGCATTAAAGCGAGTAATTAAAGAGAATTAGGTCGTCTTTATTGTAGCAAAATTTGCATTTTTCCAGACTCATGGCACCACTCGGATCGACTATAGATACATCGCGTCTCTGTAAAAATAGCGCTCCATATAGAAGGAAAAGCGTCGTGTATACGTGTCACGCTCTTCAACGTTGGTTCAGAGTTCTTTAGAGAATCCCCAACACCACCCTTTCTCAAATTATTTTCTGAAATCATTGTCATCGTCACCCCACCAACCTTTTCTGCCAGAAATCGTGGTTAATCGCGCTGAATCAGGTGCATGTATACACGGCGGCGCCGCTTGCAAACGCAATGTCCTCCGCGGAGGCGTCGCAGAGCAGCTGTCCATCGTCATCCGCTGAGCGGCAACCGAGCACAAAACTCGGCAAGATGGTCAGGAGGAATGTGCGCGACCGCTCGGCGCAAGTGCACAGGAACACCACCCAGCAGGCGACAACGAGCGTGAGTCCCGTGAACGTCAAGGCTGTGCCCAGGCGCCAGCCCAGAAGCGTGGACGCGATGCCGGACAGTAGGAAGACGCTCGAGAAGACGGCCGCCGCGTACAGCAGCGTATACATGCGGTCCTTGACAACGTCGTAGCGCGAGATGCAGCCGAGTGGGCGTGCTTCCTCCATGAGACGCAGGGGTGGATCGATACTCGCTGAAGTTGGCTCTCGTGGTAGGCCTCCTGGATGCCGCCGTCGCAACCCAAGCGCGCCGTCATCCGCGCTGGTCGACGTCTCCTCGTGGTCGGTCGTCCGGGATTCCGGTGCCATTTCGATGTCGTGCCCTGGCAGCGCTGACGGGTGATCGGCCGCGACCATCGTGGGGACATGCACGAATTGCTGCGGTGTACAGACCAGAATGTTTTAATATCGCGCGTGCGTATTAGAGCAAATGTACGTAATCTTGATAGCGGGTGATCACATGTCGGCGCGCGATCAGCGCACAAGCAAGAGCGCCCACCCGTGCAGCAAGAGAAACGACAATCTTGAAAGATGTCCCTTAATTATTTCACACTGTATTGTTATTCAGTCACGTCTTGAGTTCAGCAGCGTCTGTGCACGCGTTACAACTGCACGCACTTCCTTCAAGCTTCAAAAAAAAAAAAAAAAGTCAGCTGGCCACGTGGTTCACGGCTGTGACGAACGGTTTTGGCGCGAGTTCAACACGGAAGCATGTCTTACAATAACTCAAGTTATGAACTATGCCATCCTGCCTATATGAGTGACATAACAGAATAGTATTTGCTTCGGATTAACTATAGTGCACGCTATCTATCTATTCGCAAGCCTCCGGGAAGAGCCGTAGAGCTCGTGTGGGTCCCGGCTCACTCGCAGGTAGCAGGCAACACCATTGCCGAGTATCACGCCCGAGAAATGTCAATCCGGGCCGAGCATGAGCCGGAAGAGCTACCACACTCGGTTACCAGCTTTCGGGACATTACCCAGATGTGCCGAAAGGGAAGGTGCAGACTACCAGAACCGCGCCCCGACCTGACCAGGAAACAACAGACAATATGGCGTCGAGCGCAGGCGGGATCGCTTGCGCATCCCGTACTGCTGAACCGCATGTACCCTGCGGAACACGACATGCTCTGTCCGTTTTGTAAAATAGAAAATGGCACCCTGCTGCACATCTTGGCAGAGTGCACAGAACTTAAGAACCCCCCACCATCCCTTCCGACACCCCGAATCATCACATCAGCCCCTTAGAAGTGTGGCAGCTTGGGCTAGTTGGTATAGCATGACGATAGTTATAGCGCGAGAACAAAACGACGACACAGAGACAAGAAGGACACGAAAGACACGGGCGCTGAGCGATGGGAGACCTTGTTATCCAGCCCCACCCTACCGACTCAGCGTGCACTGACGGACAGGGGCCAGGAGCTGCTGGATACATACGGGTCCCGCAACTAGGAAACCACCCCGTCTGGTGCCTGCGCGCACTACCAACAATGTTGGGCCCAATAAATGTTGAGCAATCATCATTGTCGATCCGTAAAGACGAGAGGCTGATTTACGAGGCAGTTAGCCGGAGCGAAAGCGACCGTAACAGGGGCGTCATCAGGAGGAGTTCCCCTGAAACTTTTCAATTACAAAAGTAGGCATGAGTGTATATAAAGCAGGAGTAAACGAGCATTTTCAGATGTTTCTGAGGTGTAATTGCTGGCGGCTTACACCATACATCTACTAAATATGACTCCAATTTTAATTACGTCGTGTTTTAATGTCCACTACATCATATAAATCGCCACTAAATCCCTTTCGCATTTCTTATTATTGGCGTTTGGGCATGGCCATAAGCATAAATTTGTTTCGGGGGAGGGGGCACTTCTTTGATACGAAGTGGGTGCTGGGCGCGCGCATATGGTCGAGCGTCACTTCGCCCTCTGTATGACATGGCAAAAATATTTAAAAAATCGGGGGAGGGGGGCTATCGCCCCCTGGCTATATCACTGTGTTTGCGGACAACTGACATCGTCGATGGGTGGTCTGGGGAATAGCAAATTGTATCACCTACCGGTGCGATATATATTGTCTTAAAATTACGTAGTCTTTGTGTGACCCCTAGCTGCGCAGCATGCAGCGGTTGCGATTAACACAATCTATTGCACTTATGGATGAGTACACTGTGTACACTATATCCAACGCCGCCCTCACTGATTGCGGCGTTTGCAGAATCCCTCCAGCCAGTGGCGAATCCAGAGGGGGGGGGGGGGACGATTTCGGGAGCGGCACGTCCTTAAAATGGCCATTTTTCGGTCTCTATGCAAAGGGGAAAAACAAATTCGTGAGGGGCACGTGCCTGGTGTGCCACCCACTAACTTTGGTGCTCGCATTCCACCGCCTATCACCAGTTATTACAAATGAACGTCACTGTGAGCACACATCAACAGTATTTATGCTACAGAGTTGTTGTTCACCTAGTAAAAACAAAAAAGTCGTGACCATGCCCCCTTCTCAGGTGTTATTGTAAGCGACCCCCCCCCCCCCCCCCCCAAATGATTGGTTGGATTCACTCCTGCTTCCAGCGACATATATCCAAACTGCTCACATAGAATTGAATAACGTGAGCGGCGTGCCCAGTCTTACCGCCATGGGCCCTTTTCTTCTTTATCATCTCTTGTATGCTGGGCGTGTTGTACGTTTTTAGTCGGTAAAGGGAGAAATAATTACACAATTGTTTGCTTGGAATATAACCAAAAATGTGATGCGTAACGTACTGAATCAGTGTCGACTGGCAACTTATTCTTCTGGAAACTTTATTTTATCAATCACTCAATTTCCGCTGTGAGTTCACAGCTACAAAATAAAAGTGAGGGTCAATGCTTTATAGTGTTTGATTTTCGCGCCAAAAGCTCAGCACATGGACGTGAGCGTGACGTCAATGTCTTCAAACTCCTTTTTTGGATGTGTGTTGTCACCAAAGTGACTCAATAAAATGCCCTGAGATAGCTGGCTTCAATGCGACACCATTTTGTTGTCTTCACCGATAAAGACATATGGAGCACTTCACCGAGCGTCCTCGTGGCGAAAGTTGTGCTTTCAGTATTGGCGACTCTAAACTTGCTGATACGCGATAAATCGTTTTTCATTTCCATTGTCCCAACTCCCATTAACGGATCCGTTTCTCCCTCAAAGCATCTGTGCAATCGTTGGCTGCGACGATAGTTATAGCGCGAGAACAAAACGACGACACAGAGACAAGAAGGACACGAAAGACACTGTGTGTCGTCGTTTTGTTCTCGCGCTATAACTATCGTCATGCCATACCAACTAGCCCAAGCTGCCACACCTCTAAGTTACGTTGTCTGCGACCTGCGCGACGTGAAAGCACAGTTGCACCATTTAGGGGGCCTTTTTGTCAATCTATATTCTAAACATAGGGCGTATTTGGGCAGTACTTCTGCCATGGAACTGTAATCATTGTCTGACTTGCTCGTCTTCTTTTTTTTTCTTTTCCTGAAAACTCGGTTCCTGCCTCTTTCGAGAAGCGCGGCAGGCCCGCGATGTCATTGCGTGTCACAAATACTCCCCAAATACTCGTTTTATGGTGTGAAAAGAATGTATTTGATTTACAATTTGAGAAAGAACTAGAGTATTTGGGGAGTAGTTTTGCCACGCAACAATCTTCATCAGACTTTCTCGCGTTTCCTTGCTTGAAAACCCCGCGTTTGCCACTTTCCTGTCAAAAATGTCATGCCGTTCGTGACCGCGAACTACCGGCACCGTGGTGATAACGCGAGGAAAGTACCCGAAGTAGATGTTGATTATTGTTTCGTGGCAGAAATACTCCCCAAATGCTCGATCTTTTTTTGGAGTTTAGGCTAGGCCGTATAGTGCGTTATATGTGTGGAAACACCATTCCCCTGTCCGCTTGTTTGTGTTTTTGTGTAATAGCTAATGAAAAAAAAAAGAAGAAGCCAGCTTTCATGCACACTCCGTCGGATTTCATTCTGTAGAGATTCGACGCATTCCTGCAAATGCATTTTTTTGCTCTTTTACATACGTGTGTAGCATTTGTGCTGCTTAAACACAGAACATGTCTGACCTGTGATGTCTGTAATATGAGGCTCAGATTAATTTCGTATACTGAGCAGACGTTTACGACTAGTTCATTCTTGTACGGCCTTGCGCTCCACCACGTGGGTAAGCCAACACGTCGTCTGCTTCGAAACAGTGCTGTGACAGCCGCGACATCTACTTTACACGCATCTCAAGCGCAAATGAATGTACAACCTTAAGCTGTTATGTCAAAATTTTAAATTTTTATTCATGTGTTAGAAGATATATTTCCAATTATTTTTAAAGGTTTTTTTCTAGCGCTGCCAGATACGACACCTCGGCGTAAAGCGAGGTGACCCTCTTCCTTTTTGCGTTCGCTCACGGCGAGGGATACGCAACCACAGATGTAAGTGTATTTTAAATCGACGAAATTCTTTGAAAAAAAGCTTCGTCGCTGCCAATCCTCGACTGTAATAACTACTGCAGGGCCTCCTAGATACTGCAGTAATATTATTTTGGCGCCGAAGTGCATGTGCTCGTTTAATTTTGCGAGTCTTGTGGATGCTGTCCGGCACTTTAAACTTGCCGTGTTCGGCAACCGAGCGTGTTCTGACGCATAAGTGTCGAAGTAGACCGTTTACTTGTCCTATGACGTGATCGAATTTACTCGTTCATTTACGCTTTTTCTTCTTGCAACTTCGCTGCGCGCGTCTTTTCATTGCATGTGTGTAGGTACTACAGGCGAATGTATCGCGGTGCGACGTGCTAGCCTAAAACCCTTGCCTGTACCCGGGCCGTCAAGTCGTGCATGCGCGCTCGTTCTGAACTACCGATTGCCGTATCTGAAATGAGCGACTTAGGTTCATTTTAAGGCACGAGGAAGCCTGAATACTTCTAATCGTTTATGTAAACATCACCTCGATCGCAGTGCACCTCCTGCGATGCGTACGCCAAGAACTCGTCGTCGAATTGATGTCGTTCTTTTTGGCGATTATCGTAGATGGGACGAGTTATCCGGGCCCAGCGTAAGGGAGCTGGAAGCGTCTTCCGCTCCCACAACAAGCACAGGAAAGGAGCCCCCAAGCTCCGAGCCGTTGACTACGCTGAGCGTCATGGCTACATCAAGGGAATAATTAAGGTGAGTTCACTCGAAGCTTTCTCTATTACAATATTAAGCAGGCGAAAGAAACTTGAGATTTATGAAGTGGCGTGGTCGAGTGTATGCTCGGACACGTGTTATTTGCCAATTTCATAGTGTTCCGTCATTAAGACATTGAGTAACCAGGAAAACTTTAACACAGTTCGCAAGGGTATGAAAATAGAGACATAGGGCCGTGTTTCATCAGAAATGCTGTCAAAAACTGCGTGGATTTGTTCGTGGCACTAGGTTAATTGTAAGGCAGGCCTGTTACAAAATCAGTGAGACTTTGCAGCATGTCAATTTTACCTTTACCTAGTCCGAACAGCACTCTGAGTGGAGATCGCCGAAATCAAAACTGGTGGGTCTTGGGTTCCGCAATTGACCGCGCTGGTGGGCAATCTCGGAGGTCTGCATTTGCGCCTCTTTAGGGAGAACATTTTGTGGCGTCGGATGTCGCTTGGTCTGCCGCGCGTGTTGTCACGATTTGGCCACCGAAAATGATGGCGCGTGCCTCCTTAAGGCCAGCGCGCATGCGCAGACTATTTGCCCGGAGGAGACCCATTCTACGATAGCCAGAACCTTGCACTTCTTTTAAATATGTGCTGTTAAGATATGAAGATTTTGCTGCAATCATACTTTCTATTTAGTTAACCATCACTTAAATAAACAAAGCATGCACAATGTAAGATTACTTTCACATATCAGCTGACTTCACTTGAGAGTTGTTCATATATGTAACGTAACCTTTATGAGCTCGTACATATAGAGAAGGTGTTTTCGTGCGCATCATCAGTGTTTTCCGTTGAAACTAAATTTTTGTAAGCACTATGTTGAAGCGGAGATCCTCCAGCTACCATACCTCATTTGCTTGCTATGATTTGGCCAGTCTCCTGCGAGCTGGGAATGCGTGATGTGTTGCACTCATCATACTGCGTCACATTGCCCGTCACAGGAAATTCTGCACGATCCCGGCCGTGGTGCCCCCCTTGCACGGGTTGTGTTCAGAGACCCGTACCGGTACAAGCTCAAGAAGGAGCTGTTCCTTGCGGCTGAAGGAATGCACACGGGCCAGTTTGTCTACTGCGGCAAGAAGGCTGCCCTCCAGGTGTGTGGTGGCTGCAAGCTTCGTCTGCTTTTGACACTTCCGTCGTTGGCACTCTCAGTGCCCGCACAAAGAGGTTTAGTGAAGGCTAAACCACGTGCATTGTCAGTATAACGTGCGTGTTCTGTTGTATCTATCATTGCAAACTGTAGTTGAGTCCTTGCTGGTGAAAAAAAAAAAATCGGTTTTGGTACAGCTGTTGTTTTTGCAGTCAGGAGTTGAGTTTCTGCACGTTAGCATTTCGCACACCGTAATTGCAGCATGCTTGCTTGCCATCCTTGGTGGACTGAAAGGAAACAATAGGTGACTGCCAAGTATAGTCTAAAAGCTTTTAATTAACTTGCAACTGACCGTTTTGGTGGGTCAGCTACCTATAAGAAGCATAAATTTCAAAGAGTTGGCAACGTTCAGCAAGTTCAGGCTAAGCGGCCATAGTGAATTCTGTGGTAAAATGACTGGCTACATGCAGAGAAAGGATAGCTGTGGCAACGAGCCATTTGTGAAAGGATCTCAGAGTTGCTGGTGAAGAGTAGAGCAGCACACCAATTCATGAAGCTTGTTTTCTGAGTGAAAGTTCATTCCTGCTTTTGGTGACCAGAAAAGCAATTAGCGCACTGCACATTCATATTTCGTATCAGCATAGTGCGCATCGTATGGGCATCGTCGAGTCATTGTAGCTGAATTCTTTGAAATCGGAACTTACTATACAGTCGAGCCTTGCTACAACGAAAGTGATAGGGCGAAGAAAAAATTTTATTGAAGCGAAAATTTCGATGTAATGAAATAAAAAAAAATATAGCTGATCTGAGCTAGCACAACAAAGAAACATTTATTCGTGAATTCAAAAAATGTCCGCTGCTTCTTATTCTTTCCCAGCAGCGTCACGACGTGATTCTCACCCTTGCATAGCGAGGCCATGGTGAAAAGCACGCTGAAATGCCTAAAACCACCTTTGTGAACGAACCAAACAGTTTCATTAACACGTTAATACCAGCAGCTGTCCACCGTTAAAAGTATCCGACAACGCCAAGATAGAGGCATAGTATCTTAGAGCGGCGACTTTTGCATCCATCACTCCCGGCTAGCTGATTTTGTTGGTAATGCGGACGAACAGCCGCTCTGATTAGTTACCACACTGGCCAAGCGCGAACATGATAAACATCGGAACCGGAAAAGGCATCGTTCCGCAGTTGCACCCAGCAGCTGCGTGAAGGAAACCGTGAACTCTGCAACTTAACTTCAGCTTCCGATCGTCTGCGGCTCAAAAGCAAGCCAGTGGCAAAAGCAGGGCAGTCTCATTGCCACCGCTATCGAGCAATGGCGGTGCCCAAGCTCGCTGAACAAGCGCCGGTTTCTTGTGATGCCAACATTTGTTTTAGACTTCTTTGACGCATTTACAGGCTCTGAAAATGCATCGAAATGTTAAAGATTGGGTTTACTGCATAGCAATAAGTATCTGAGCTTGGAATTGCATCTTAAAATTTCATTGAAGCGGTACGAGCAAAGAAGAAGCGTTCGTTGTGGCGACAATATTTATGCGTTGACTCCTATGGACTGCTGACGGGGAATCACGAATTTTTCGTTGTAGCAGAAATTTCCTTGAAGCGGTGTTCGACTGAAACATTAATATGGGGGGGGGGGGGGGGGGCAGATTTTTCTGGTATGCAGGGTTATGTTGAATTGCTGCAAGCTGTTTCTGTAAGTATGGATATGGCACAACGTGATTTCTAGTGTGTGCTTCGTTTGGAAGTTTCAGTTATATAAGTATGGAATTTTAGCTTTTTGCTGCAATTGGCTTCTATCCATTCCTTGGAATTTTATTACTGTAGATTACTGCATCTACTCACGTAACGATATTTTGCCTGCCATGATCGTGGTAAAGGTGCCACAATACTCCTACACCCCCTTTCTTAAAATTAGCTTTAAAATGTGTAAATCATGCAAGTGAATAGAGTAGATTATTCCTTTTGGATTGGTAGACAAAGAAGTTGGTGTAACACCTTTGCATACTGACCATTTCGGCTGGTTAATGCAGGCAGGTGGCAGTTGCTGTGATGATTTCTACAACTGAAGTGGAAAACCACTTATGTGGAGTTTTCTTAGAGGCTGTTTCTGAGTGACTGCAAACTCCTGCTCAAGTCGCTATGGCCAGTTGCAACATTTGGTAATCCAAGAGTCTCTGGAAGACCTTTGGCGTTTGGCTGTAACTGTTGTGTGCACTACTTTCAGAACACTTAGAAGGAAAATAATTCATTAGTACTTGGGTGACATGGTACTTGTATTGTGGAGCATTCCGGTTCTGTAGGCCTGAACATCACTGTATATGTTATTTTCTCTACACTTCAGCTGTGGCTCAGCAGTGCTCTGACTGGATTTTAGTGTACACTGTCAATTTTTCTGAAAATGAACGTGCGAGTGCATTACCTGCTCGCTCCGGCGGCTGCCTGCAGCGCGTTCAAGCGGGATCGAGAGCAACCACAGTCTCTTTTCGCGTCATCTGTTGGCATGCAAACCAACCTGTCATTGGTGATATGGAACTGTCCACAAGACTGCAACCATCTCCCTCTACAAGGTGATTAGGCAAGAGGCTGCAAGAAGCCGGCCTCTTGTGAAATCGCCTTGAAGGGTTCCCGGCCTTGAAGTCTTGCCAAAGGTTCAATATCAACACACGAACGATTTAAAGGAGCGACATGTGTGCGTGCCACCCCTTTAGTTTCGTCATGATTATTGATGACTGGTTGCTTTGGTCACCACTAGATGACTCGTAAAGAGGCTGTGGTTACTCTGGCTCCCGCTAGAATGTGCTACAAGCAGCCGCTGAAGCCACGCGCTCGCGTGTTTTCTGTCATGAAAATTGACGCTGTACACATGTTGATTAACTTTAAAGGAATGTGTTCATTAAAAGGTCTCATAGCCGTATGAACAGACTGCTCTAAGTGTTTCGACCTGTACGAGCAGAGTTGAAGATTTCTTGCACACTTGCAAGTCGCTCTCCCTTCGTACCAGTGAGCACGCTGAAAGCTGTCCAGATATAGGGTGACAAGGGGACAAGAAAATGCGTGTGTCAGCATGCGTCATTATCTTCAAGCACTTTAATTTATTCGTGCGCATGGGCACACGGCAGCATCCTGTCGTTGCTGTGGTAACTATGCTGGTCACAATGCTAAAATCGGCCAGTGGCCGTGCATGGATATATGGCATCATTTGTCGAGAGAAGAGTGAGCAATTTTTTGCTGACTGAGAATTAACTCAGCTGCCTGCTTCGCTATAATGTTTAGCTCGTGTGTTCTCGAGCCTTGACCACCAATCGCCAGCATAGTCTGACCATGCTGAAGTAGTGTGATAGGGCCCCTTTAACGTCCTAGTGGCTTCAGGACGCTTGGTGCTGGGGCCATTCATTGGTCTCACTTTCTCAGAGCCTTGTTCAACTACGGAAAACCCTCATTTTAGTGACTCCTCTCTGTTTTGTGTGCGTGTTCTTTCTGCCAGGTGGGCAATGTGCTTCCCGTGGGTGTTATGCCTGAAGGCACTGTGATCTGCAATGTTGAGGAGAAAGCCGGAGACAGGGGCCGCCTGGCACGTACATCTGGCAACTACGCCACGGTGATTGCGCACAACGCCGACACACGTAAGACGCGCATCAAGCTTCCATCGGGCGCCAAGAAGGTGCTGCCCTCCGCCAACCGTGCCATGGTAGGCATCATTGCCGGTGGCGGTCGTGTTGAGAAGCCCATCCTCAAGGCTGGCCGTGCGTACCACAAGTACAAGGCAAAGCGCAACTCCTGGCCCAAGGTCCGGGGTGTTGCCATGAACGTAAGTACTGCCTTGCTCCTCCATTTCGGTATGTGGTGTTTTTTGCACTTAGAGAGCATCTCATAGCTCATGCTGCTACCCAAGCACTCACTAATTGGGATCCGGAGGAAGAGCTGTTCAACCCAGATGAGGAGGCGTTCATACTTGCACAATTGTCAATTAAAAAGCAATTATTGCGCATGTCTTGGGCACCATAACAAGTATGTATTCAGCATGTGCACCTTTTACTAGAAAAGGCATACATAAGTCATTTTAAGGACCGTAGCGCTTATCACGCTATGCTGACCATTCAACGCTTGCACATTCTCGCGCTGGGACTGACATCGCCATATTCCCCTGTAACATGGCCAGCCAACTAGTACAACCGCAAGAAGTCTCTATTATTTAAGCGCCCTTCAATGATGGGCTTTGCGAGTGCTATACTGAATTTCGAAATCACGTTACTAGCAGACGCTGCCTGCGTCGGCCTTGTGAGGCGAGAGAGGGGGATGTAGGCAGTTGGCACGAGACGCAAGCATGCGACACGATACGCGAGACATGAGCATGCGCAATGGGAGTGCGGACAACAACGACGCGTAAAGCGTGACATCGTGCGATGAGTGGCGGGGCTGGCTGTGTGTTGCTCGAAGGTTCGCGTACCACCTGCCTGACCTCCTGATGGATCACATCGGCCAGAGACGAAAGCATTGGATGATACAACTAGCAAAAGCGAGTTGTGCACACAATAGTGTGTGTGCAAAGTGTATTAAGATTACCGTATTTACTTGAATCTAGGTCGCCCTCGTCCGCAGGACTACCCGAGTTCACAAGGCCAGAGGAAAAAAAAAAAGCTAAAATGCAGGTCGAATGTACGAATCACCGTATTTTAGGCAAAAAATACAGCATTAATTAATGCATAAGTGCACACTCTGTAGGTACGTTTTATGTTTATTCTATGTCATCATCATCATCTGCAGCATCGCTGTCCTCTGTATTGCTCAGTTCATCCCAGAAGGCATCATACCCACTTCCGTCCATGGCGTATGAAATACAACACTTCTTGAAGGCTCTGATGATTGTGCAGTCTGGAATTTCGTGCCAAGCCGCGGCGATCCGATTTTCTATTTGGCCAAGCGAAGCGCGCTTGATGCATCCGGTTGGGGTTAGCTGACGGTCTTCCGACGTAAGCCACTCAGTATAGTACTCGCAAAGCTTATCTTTGAAGGGCGCTTAAATAATAGAGACTTCTTTCTGTTGTACTAGTTAGCTGGCCATGTTACAGGGGATTATGGCGATGTCAGTCCCAGCGCGAGTAGGCGTGGTCCTCACGCCAGTCAGATCGCCGCAGCGTAAGTCGAGAACTAGCAGTGAGTGCTTGCATAACGTGGACCTTTGGTGGCGTTTTCAGACTGCTTTCACCCAGTCTTTCATCAAACCGCTCGACATTCAACCTTTTCCGTGAACGTGCACGACAACAGTTTTGGGGAAGTTTTCACGCACTGGTACAGTCTTGCACATAAATATAATATAAATATAAGCAAGTTTTCGTCCATCAGCTTTGCAGCACAACTTTACTGTTGTTCGCTGATTTTCGTAACCCGTCGTTTTAAGTTTTAATTCCTTCGCACTCTTATTGTTTAAAGTGTAAGCCAATGGTGTGTGGGAAAGGGTGGCTTTTTCAGGCAAGATCTTGTCAACTGGAGCCAAGTATATATGGTATTAGGTACTATATGTGAAATGTAATGATGTCCTGAGCATTATAAGTTACGTTCTAGACAATGGCTTAATTTGAGCTGTCTGCAATGTATACTAAATCTGCTGGCTGCAATTTTGTCTCAAGGGGTTTGTAAATGTGCAGCGTTGATGTGCTGCTGCTATAGTAAGAGCCTTCATCAGTCTGACAGTTGAGGAAGAGAAACGCTGGGCTGATGCGATGGTTCGAAGTTGGATTCCCTGCTGTGATGATTTCTATTCCTGAACATTTCTGTGGAAAGTCTCTAGAGGCTGTTTCTGAGCAGCGGAACTTCACCTTCACTACTGCACATGTGATTGAAGCAGAGGGTCTAATATTGTTCCTATGCCCTCAAAATGCCAAAGGGACTCGAATTTTTAGTGTGTTCACAGCATTTGCACTCGACGTGTCCGGTGCGTGCGAATGTGAATCATTTCGTTGGTGTTCCAGAGCACTATAGACCCAGCGAGCTTTACTAGTGCTTCATTGTCAATGATGGGCCACACTGCCATTTGGTAGCATTCTAGGGAACTAAGCTTTGTGTCACATAATTCATTAGTAGGCCATTGTGAGTGTTGAACGAGGTATGACCTTTTATGGCTGGAGAAAACAAAACTGGGTTTATGCAAATGTGATGCCTCCTCAGCCAACTTAATGCAGTGATTTGAGAGGAAACTTAGGTCGTTCAGAAAATATATTTTGCAGCTGAGATATGAACAAACTTTAAGAGCCACTACTGAGACATTAGAGAGCATCTCCTAGCTCTCTGCATTGAGGGGTTCATTTTCAGGACATACCATGTAGTGATTCGTAGTTCTATGTGTCTGAGGGCTTGAGGATCTTTTGCGTTGCACGGTGTTTCATATGTTAAATGCTGCACTCTCTTTATCCCATACAGCCCGTCGAGCACCCTCACGGTGGTGGCAACCACCAGCACATTGGCAAGGCCTCAACCGTCAGAAGGGATGCCTCTGCTGGTCGCAAGGTGAGTTGTTTTGCGCTTAACTCACTACATTCGGTTGCCATGAAAAGGCTGGATTTCTTCATAAAGTTGACTAGTGCCAATTCAAATGATAATTTTTGTTAGTCATTTACACTTGAAGCAGAGGCACATAGGTAGCCCATTCTTTTCATGTAGGGAAACTGTAGTTTCTTGTCATATCCTATTTGTATGCTTAATAATTTGGGAAATGTTCAGCATTGATGTCCTGCTGTAGCAAGAGCATTCATCAGTGTGATGCTTGATAAAGAGAAACTCTGGGCAGTGCAGTGTTTGGAGGTTGGATTCCCTGCCGTGACGATTTCTATTCCTGAACACTGCTGTGGAAAGTCTGTAGAGGCTGTTTCTGAGCAGTGGAACTTCACCTTCACTAGTGCACGTACCAGTGAAGCAGAAAGTAAATAAAGCATATGTGGGCACGCTCTACAGTAAGTTCAGGTTTCATAAATTCATCACTACGGTGAAGGCCTTGTAGTACTGCAGTTATGGCAACTGGTGACCCAGAATCAAATTGTAAAGAAAATGCTTGTAACAAATACATAATGTGATGAATTTATTAGATGTAATGACATTTTTCTGTGGCATGTGCCTTCGCTATATCCGATGTTCATTAGTGGTGGGAGTCAAACGCTTGGCTTTTGCATAGCATCTGTTTAATCAGCTGTGTCAGGCTTTTTGATGAACCTATGGATTGAAATGCGAGGTAGACATTCATGCTTTTATTGCTGTTTATTGAATGGCAGGCTGATTTCAGGCATTGTGCTTTTTCTCCAGGTCGGTCTCATCGCTGCCAGGCGGACGGGTCGTATCCGTGGTGGCAAGGTCAATGCCCAGGGCAAGGACGATTAGGCTTGTCTTGGGTGTTTGTGTTAATAATAAAACAGGATGCCTCGACCAAAACTTTAGAGTGTCTTGTGTTACTTCTGAAACTGGGTTTCTAGGTGTGGACCCTGAACTGGCTTGCACATTGAAGCCTTTGTCAACCTGGTTGTAATACTACAGTGTGCTAGCCTGTGGAAACAATGCAGCAGGATATTGATACACGTACTGGTTTTTGAACATGATTTTTGTCCAGGAACTTAAGCTGTTGTGTTTGTTTACATTATTTGTTGTAAATTTTGCTGTTACTGCAATACATAAAAATAAAATGTAGATTGTGTGTTTTCTTAACACTCAATGGTGCTCGCTCGCGGCCAGTCAAGTGCTTCTCTGCTGCCTTGACTGGTACGTCAAGCATGATGGCGCACACAGCGTTGCTCTGGAACTCATTCATAAAATAGTTTGCTAGACATTGGAACCACAAATGCAACATGCTCTAAGATGGAAATTCGTACGAAGCAGAAGATGCCTAAAGGCTTCAAGAGATGAATATTCAACACTGTGTTGCTGGAGTTGCATCGACAAATGGTCTTACCTTCATGGAGAGGTGGAGGGGACTTGGACAAGACTGCTTGCCAAAATCTTGGTTCCAGTGATGATGCCCAGGGTTCATTAATATCGATATACTCTCAAAATTGGCCATCAGGTTAAGCACAATATGTTATGTCCTATGTACCTTGTGTGGAAATATCCGTTTCTCCACCTATTGTTTGAAGTACTAATTGCACATGTAGTCTCGCCATTTCCAACTGACATCTCTGCTGTGAAGAGGTCTGGTATCCAACAATGGTCGCGTGTAAAGCAGTGAAAAAAATTGTTTTTGGACTGGGCGTACCCGAACACTCCGGTTTTGTGGGCCATCTTTGGTGTCGCGCAACTTTTTTATACCTGCTGGAATGTTTCATGGGCTGAAATGTCCCAGAATCCTTACAAGCCATTGTCGAATGCCCCGGAAAACCCTCGCAAGGGTAAGTTTCGCTTCTCATACTTACTGGATGTTGCCAATCAGGCGCCGCCATCGGAGGCGTAGCTGTCCCCCTAATATTACTGCCCGTCTCCCCTTGCGCCTTCCTCCCCCAAATGAACTCGCTTGAAGTGGGTACCCTACTCACCCAATAAAAATATATCCTCGTGTCGCCCTATAACCAATTAACCGTAATTGTTCCTTCGCGTAACATGACAAAATATTTATCGTAGTCCTGAGCAAATGATATTCAGGAGCCGTAGCCCTCCCGCCCCCCAATCAAGTCGCTGACTTCGCCCTCGAGGTTCTGTCTGCATGGAGTTGGAGTAAACAAAAAAAAAAAACATGAAATAGTGGTTTACTTCGTCGTACATTTGTGCTGTACTCTATCACCTCACTGACTTGGTAAATGTAAGTATTTGCACTGAAATTCATTCATACTACTTTCAATTGCAGTCCAGCACATTTGCAGGTAATCTCTTCCATTTCCCGGCAGGCACAGGCGAATTTTAAGCCCTGCCCAGCACTCGGGACACATATAAGGTATTGTTGCGAACGACGGCCCGATCCCACCGCTGACCTCCACTGTTGCGAAAGACGGGGACGCCAACACGGCCCCGAAGGCGCCACTGCTTTCAACTCCGCCGGGAAGGTCACCAGCCTTTTGGTAGCGTATGTTTCTCAGCTCGCGACTGCTTCTGCGCCGAGCTGATAAGACGAGCGGACGAGACGACGGTGAGTTAAACAAGGTTTATGTACAGCATATATACAGAGGCGTTACAATTTCGGCACTGGGGCCGACAGAGACTCGAAGAGCCGAGCTCTCCTCTCTAATACATAGGACAACTTTTCGCCTAAGACCGCCGACTCACACACATGTCGGCTCTCCGACATGGGGACTCCTCTCTCATAGGACCGCCGATCGCGACACGCCGCAGGGCTTCTTTTATTTGCACCGGGTCCAACCAAAATGTCCAATCAGAAGCGCCGCTGGTCGTCGGGGCAGACTCCTCCAATGGGGTCGCCGCGCCATGCGTCAGACCACCAGACACGAGGACGCCGGCTCGCTGTCACGTGCGCCACTGACTCGATGCACGTGGGCCAGAGAGGCGCCGCGCGTGTTCACGCCGTCGAGTTGATCGCGCCAGGCGGACTGCGGGCTGGCCTTGACCCAGATTGCCTTTTTCAGAGGCACGGGCGTTTGACGAGGACTCGCTGGCATAACAGCACCCCCGCCGCCAGACAATGCACCGGAAAGACGAGCTGCTTCTACGGGGCTCGGATGTCAGGTGCGCTCGTTCGCCAGGTCCCTCCAGGTTCGCCTCCAGGGCCATGGGGAGACTACAGCTCCAGACTGTTCCGGGAACACATCCCATTTTGACGACGGATCCCAGCTCCACTGGCTTGTCGCCACAACTTGCTGGCCAACTTCGCTCGTCTCTTCTGACCATCTTCGGTTTCAGCACTTGTCGATGGTTCTGCAACTTGCCAGGAACGGATCGACAACAGACAACACACGACACAAGCAAGTGCCCTCGGTCACCCAACAGAACACCAGACAAAGTATAGTACAACATATACCTATCTACGTGTCTATCGGAATTTTGTTCCCTCTACATCAAGAGGCACATGTGGGACACAAGACTCTTAAAATGACAACTCAATTTTTTTTCCCACGTACAACAACGTAACGAATTAGAATACCACAAAGTTGGCCCCTTGAGATCACTCTAAACGAGAGCGCTCAGCTAAGGTCGTGATGAGGTCAAAATTTTGCCCCGAATCGCCAGCCAGAAACCGAAAGGTTGAGAAGGTACTAGCTAGAACGCACTGCTCAATGCACCTCCATTAGCGTTTAGCTTCCCCCCCCCCCCTTTTTTTTAGCGAACGTCAAAGTTGCGCTGTGGAGCAACGTGCTCCACCTCAGTAACCGGCCACTTTTAGGCGACGATACCTATGCGGCACCAAGAGCGGCTCACACTTTCGACGTTGCACAGCGGAACAACGATACGGCTTGCTACGGATTGACTCCTCACCGCTTAGCTCGATATCGTGTTCGATCACCCTCGTGTTTCCGGGGCGGTCCGAAAACACGTCTTCAAACTCGGAACCAATCTTTCTCAGGTCCTCTTTCTCAGGTCCTCCTTCACTTAAGCTAGGCTCTAGGTTTATCTGCTCCCGGATTACTTTCGATCCCCCTTCAATTACCTCACTAGAACTCAAAATTTCTGCTTCCTCTTCCTTTGAAGCATTCAACAACAGATTTACGACCGCTTGATGTTGAACGTATGGTTTCATCAAGTTGTAAATTTTGTCCGGCCGCCTTCCTAATTTCACCTCATAATTTGTATTGCAAGGCTTCGATAATACTTTGGCGGGCCCTTCCCAATCAACCTCAAGCTTGTTCCTTTTGGACGGCTGCAGCAGCATTACCTGATTATCAACTTCAAAAGCACGCTTCTTCACCGATTTCTCGCAGTGCTCCTTCGACAGCACTTGTGCCGCGTTTTTGTGGCTTTCCACTAGCGCTTCAATCGAGAGGTCCTCACGCTGCTCTCGAATGAGCGTCTCTCGATCAACTCTCGGCAGCTCGCTCCAACTTTCCGCTACAGGCGAGAGCGTTGCAACCCTCTCGCTCTGACTCAATGGCGCCATGTCGTCTCCCCTTTCTACGTAAACCGCGCCTGTCGGTTCGGCGACGGGCCGCTCGCGTGACTGCTCACATGACTCATGCGGAATCTTTCCTTTCTGGGGTTCCGTCGACCCGCCGACAAGGTCACTTGAGAGTTCACCGCATGGAACCAGATCAAGCTGCCGCGATAGCTTCCGCGCTTGCGACCGCGTGAGAGCCATGCACGCTAAGTTGGGGAAGAACGATTTGCCCTGCTCTTTGAGAAGCTGCTCTGAGTTGTTGGAGAAAATATAAGGAAAACGATCGTTTAGCGCGGCAGACACAGCCACTTCGGTGCGAAGCTTACCGAACGGGCCTTCAATGACAACGGTGGCGATTGGTAAGCGAACACTCTGCTCCTCGGCGACTTGCCTGATCCACGCGCATTCTCCTGTAAAGTCATCCGGAGACACCAATGAAGGATGGACAACGTCCATGGTTGCCGCTGAGTCTCTAAGTGCTCGGCACGTTTTCTCATTCACCCTAATTTCTTGGAGATACGGCTCCAACAACCGCATGTTTTTTTCCGATTCTCGGATTGTTGCGAAGGCAAACTTTTCCTGACAGTTTCTCGCGATGTGTCCTTCCTTTTTGCAGTTGTAGTAGATTAGCGGCTTCCGTTTGTTTTCCGATTCAAATGCCTGTGTGGTAGAAACCTCACTCGATTTCTCCGCTTCTGTTTGCCCTTCCCCTACACTGTCCTTCGTAAGAGACGGGTCCTTTTTGAAATTACGGTGCGGAACGGGTTTCCGTTGATCAGGTTTCCTTGAAAAGCCCTCTTTCCTTTCATCCTTTTCAACGCGCACTGCCCTGCTATGCAACTTTCGGCGAGTATAATACTCCTCAGCTAACTCAGCTGCCTTATTTAACTGTACTTCCCCAAGTCTGTCTTGCAGCCAAAGTCTGACATTATCCTCGATGCAGCGGTAGAATTGCTCCAATGCAACGCATTCCACCACTTTATCGCGGTCGTCATAAACACCTTCGCCCTTGAGCCATTCAATTAAATCGGCCTTAAGACGAAACGCGAAGTCAACGTGTGACTCATTCCCCTTTTCAGCATACCGGAACCTTTGCCTGAAAGCCTCGGGTGACAACTTATAACGTCTTAAGAGCACTTCCTTGACCTCGTCATAGCTCTCAAACGCTTCCCTCGACAAGCAAGTTATCGCGTCGGACACTTCGCCGGGAAGAAGAGCTAACAGGTTCTGCGCCCAAAGAGACCGCTCCAAAGCGTTTCGCTCACAGACGTGTTCAAACTTGACGAGATACTTCGCCATGTCCTCGCCTACTACGAACGGTGGCAGTTGGTCCCGAATTCTAAAACCGCTGACCTGAATCGTCGGAGAAGCTACGCTAGGCGCCTGCGAACACTGTAGGATTGCCA